TATCAGTTGGCTTTGCTTACATGTTTTTCTTTTACAAGTTATTGTAGGGAAGGACAGTGAGTATCAATACTTTTTTTTTCCTTAAGGAAAAGGCATTGGTGAGTTGCAATTTATATTGTTAAAGAGCATACCTACATCAATGAACTGAGATCCATACGAAGAAGCTTTTTGACATCTTAGGACCAAAAAGAATCCTTACCTACTAGTTAGCTCAAACAACATATAAGTAATAGTAAAATACATTAAGTAGACTTATACTTTTAAAACATTGTGCCAAAATAATGAAGAACTTCCATTTTAAAAAGTTGTTTACCAAAATAGATGAAAAATATTAAGGATAAGGGGAAGGGGAAAACAAAAAGGGATGAGATACATGCTTTGAAACTACTCATTAGCATTTCCCAGTAGTGAACATTATCATCTTCAGAATTAGTTATAAAGAAAGAAGGAAACAAGCATTTATTAAGTGCCTACTATGCTAAAGCACTGTGCTAAGTGCTTTACAAATATTATCTCATTTGATCTTCACCATAGCCCTGAGAATTAGGTGCTATTAGTTATTTTACAGATAAGGAAACAAAGGCAAACAGAGGTTAAGTGACTTGCCCAGGGTACCACAACTAATAATGTGTCAAGTCAAATTTGAATTGAGGTCGCCCAGGCCCAGTGCTCTATCAACTGTGACACCTAGCTAATACAAATACATAAGAATGTAGTCTAAGTGATCTTTTTAAAATTAAACAAAACCAAAAGCCTTTATGAGACCTCCCCCCAAAAAAAACTTCACAAAAATGATATTGCTAAATTTCAACGTAAAGAAACCTCCTGCCTTCCCAATCACTCCTCATGAAATTATTAAATAAGGCTCAAATGTTTCATTCTTAAAATAATGGGTCAAGTGGTCCAGTTACTATTACCAACAGCAATACTGATACGGAATTCCTAATTTATAATCATGTGTCCCCAGAGAAATTCTCCAATACAAGGTGAATGGAGGTAGGGAGGGTGAGGGGGGTTTGCCTTAAAAGCAAAAAATCTGGTGTGATCAAGATCTAAGTGTAATCCTGTTAGATGGAATTTTTTTTCCAAGTTTGTTTTTGTTTTTCAAAACATGATTTTCTTGCTCTGGGCCTTAGAATGAAGGATGCAAAATTGGACTCATATGCTTAAAAAACTTGGGTTAGATTGTAGCTTCCAATTTTAGGAAGACTGGCACAATTAAAAACAGTACCAACCCTTTTAGGCATGGATTATTGCCCTCCTGAATTTCAGGTTGGCTGAGTTGCCAAGCATACTTTCAGAGACTCCTGTCATCAAGTGTCACCACTGGAATTAATAAGATAAATATTACTGATCAATACTGGAATCTGCTTGTATAAAATGGGAGAATAGGAAGGGAAAGTGATTCATTCAACAAAATATTTAACACCTGCTATATGTGTGGAACTGTACTAAGTACTCATAATCATGAAACTGAGACTAAGCTACATTTTCTACCTTTAGGTAGCCTTACTCAAAAAGGTAAATACACATAGTCCCTTCCTCCTCCCCACCCCCCCCACCAAAAAAACTGAACCATATGATCATTATTTCATATGATGGTTTATAAATGAAAATATTAAATACAGGTAACACTAAAGGTGAGCTGCTTAGAGGGAACATATATGTCTGTGTGTGTATGTATATATATATATATATATATGTACACACACACACACAGTCAATACTCATTATTTGCAGATTCCATATTTGTGAATTTGCTGACTTGATAAAATTTTTAATCAGAAAAGCAATACTCATTGCACTTTCATGGTCATCCTCAGACATGCGCAGAGCAGTGAAAAATTTGAGTCCCCCAATGCAAATGTTCCCAGCTGACGTCAAACACTGCTTTGCCTTCTTGTTTCAGCACTCATACTATAAACAAGTGTCCTTTTCATGTTCTACTTAGTTCATTTTTATGATTTTTGTGCTTTTTGTTGGTGACTTTGCTGGTTAAATTGGCTCCCAAGCACAGTGTTGTCCAGTGTTCCTAAACACAAAAAGGCTGTAATGTGCCTTACATAAAAATAGACAAGTTAGATAAGCTTCATTAAGGCCTAAGTTATAGGTGCTCTTGGCCATGAGTTGAATTGAAAAAAAAAAAAAATCAGCAATCTGGTATATCCAGAAAAAGGAAGAAGAAATTCGCCAGTCTGTATGTGAGACCTATCTGGAAAGTGTTAAAGTCAATAAAACTTGCCGGACTCTGCATCCTCTAGGAGCAATGGTTCAGTTTCACTAACTCAGCATTCATATCAACTTTATAGAGCTTAATTATCGGCAAATGATGAGAATTGACTCTGTGTGTGTGTGTGTGTGTGTGTGTGTGTGTGTGTGTGTGTGTGTAGAGACAGCAGAGTAAAACTGAAAGATCAAAAACTAGAATGGGAGAAGAATAAGATTCATAAGGCAGCACTCAAAATGGACAGGGAAACAGACTTTCTAAACTCTGAAATTCAGAAGTTAAACCCACCCAACAGAACTAGTCACCTATTTTGGGGATTATTAAAATTTTATTAAAGTATTTTTAAAAGCATTTGTTGGAAAACTTTTTAGGTAACATATAATTCTTTAAAATTTCTTAAGTTATAACTTTTAAAAATATTATAATATTCATTACAGCACCTTTGAGATTATAGTTGAGACCAAATTCTTAGAAGTTCTGAAAAGCATAAAAAGTTTAGGCACAGTTTTGAAAATACACATGATGAAATATTGATTCTAGCCAGAAAACAATTATTATTTGTTCAAGTGAATATGAGAGGTGCTTCCATAATATTCCAGATAAAAACCTACGAGCTAAAGAGAGAAGAGGGAGAGAAGGAGAAAAGGAAACTCAGTAAATAAGGATCCTTTAAAAAAAAAAAAAGTATACTTCAGGGCAGCTAGGTGATGCAGTGGATAGAGCACCAGCCCTGGAGTCAGGAGCAACTGAGTTCAAATCCCGCCTCAAAACACTTGACACTTACTAGCTATGTGACCCTCGGCAAGTCACTTAACCACATTGCCTAGCAAAAAAACAAAAACAAAACTATACTTCTTCATAAAATCACAGAATGTTAATTGGAAAAGATACTAAAGATCACTTAGTCCAAATCCAGTGCCACCTGCCTCTCTTTTCAAACTAATCTGAAGATAAGAATACTTAAATTCATGGGAACATAAGCAATTTGCTCAAGGTCACACAGCTAAAGAACAAAGATAACACTTCTGAAAAGTCTAGTTTTCTATGTCACTCTTCTACCAAAAAAAGGAAAAAAAAACCTTAGGGGTTGGTTCTGCCATTAATTTAGTTATATGACACTTAAGAAACATCTGTGTCTCTGTTTCTTCATCTGTCAAATGAATAAACAGTACTTGCCCTACCCATCCCCAGAAGGGCACTGTGAGGATGAAATGAGATTAATATGTGATATTTCTTTGAAAAAATATAAAGCAGTACATAAATGTGATACATTATCATCAGTCTTTCAGCAAAAAAACATTTAAAATTAACTTCATTACTTTAGAAGTAAAGTTCTCTCTCAAAGTCACCTATGTCATCTCTTAAACCTTTCTGGAAAAGTATCCAATAGAACATATAGATGTATATAATCTACAAAATATAAACCTATTTTTACTTAATCTCACAAATAGCTTTTAAAATATCCACAATACTATTGAAGTAATGATAAAAAATATTTTTCTGGACTGATATAACATTTGTACTTCTCTGAAGATGCACTGAATTCTTTCAAATAGTCTCCCAAGGCTAAAAAACTTCTCTTGAATACCATACCACATTCTTAGAACATCACTTTATGATATACCCACACTAATCAAAACCTTTCAAGATCAAGGTGCTTTATCTGCCCAGTATCAGCACAGTCATTTATTGTATTGTACAGCTACAAATCCAAAAGCAGCTGGTGTTAGGTCCAATGTGGACAACTGGCCCTCTTTCAAAAGAGGAGTGGAAAGTCTTTCTTAATGGTCCACTAGTAAGAGAAAGCACCCTTATTAGACCTTAAGCTGAACATTTATGCATGAAAAACCTTGCCAAACTATAGTATGAAAACATGCCCTGAAAGAAGATATGCAAGGATCAAATCATTTCACTTTCAGTTACAGAGTATTAAAGAATGCACAAGAGTGATACCAAGGAGTTAATAGTGCTATTTAAATACATCTGGGCTGAGAGTCATTTCTGGAAAAATGTTTTTAATAATCAAATCCCTTGGCCTTCCCATATTGCTATTCAGAAAAATAAGAGACTATCAACCATATGTTTACAAAATGAGGAGACTGGTTGTTTCCTGCAAGTGTTTGGTTCTCTGGATTGCCTATGTTTTAAGAGTCAATCAGAGCACTGCCAAGTCTGGAGGGTGCCAATTCTAAAATATCTGTCTCCAAAAGCAAGTAAGAATGATGGCATATTGAATGGCTTGCTTACAAAATATTAACACATTTTAGTGGCAAGTTTATTGTATTAAAACTTATTATGTTATTATAGTATATTAAAATATATTAAAGCTTAATCTAATTTTACACGAGAGGGTGTGTTTTCACATTGATCCTGACATACATAATGTATAACTAAGATATTGGTAGTCCAAGTATTCAATCACCTCTGTCAGCCTTAAAACTAACAGCACCTACCTCACAGGCTTGTTGTGAGAATCAAATGACATAACATTTGCAAAGCCCTTAGCCCAATGTCTGGCACATATCAGACACTTAAATGCTTATTTTCTTGTCTTCCCTCTCAATGATACAGATGGGAAATAGGGCATCTATTAAACAATAGAAATAAAGAACTCTTTGGTATACTCAGTCATCTAGGTCAGCAGGTTATGTAGACTTTATGGAGGATTTATGGATGGAAAGTATGGACAGGCTACAATATACATAAGTGGAGATAGCACCCAACTGATTAAATCATTAATTGGTAAGAGTAAGAGGATTTAAAAGACTCAAACCTTTGCTGATGACTCCTTGAGCTCGCTGAGGTTGTCCTGTAGAAAATGAATGGAGATGACAGGTGAGCTGGAATAGTTCTCAGAATCCCGAGAAACTTGGAAGTATGGTTGTAACCTTGAAACAAACCAGCTACTCCTTTTCTGGGAATAAATCTAGTGATGTTATCACGTGAATATCAATATAAAAACAAAAAAGAAAAAAACAAAAACAAAAAAAAAAGAAAAAAACAAAAAAGAGAAAAAACAAAAAGAAAAAAAGAAAAAACAAAAAAACAGAAAAAACTATGTGAGATATCAAAAGATAAAATTTTTCATGCCCAATTTGACAAGTGAAAATTCCTCCCACTTTCTCCCAATAATTTAATAATATATGCCAATCTTTTTTTTTTCTACCCCCACTTAAAATATAAGCACATTTAGAGGCTTAAGAGTGTGGGGAAAATATCATCCATTTTTTCCACTAAAAGTTTAAAAAACAATGGAGGTTACTGTGGAAGAACTCTTATTCCACATGTCCTTTTAAAATCCACTTAAAAGGTAACAATATTTACTATTCATAATTTTTTTCATCCTATCAAGAATACTTAGCAGTTTATACTTGGGGGATATAAAAAAAAATAATCACGCTTTTTTCCAAAGTTCATAAAAAGAGTGAACCTTATGCCTCCCACAGAAAAAAAAAATAGTAATCACGGTATTCCACCACAGTGCTCTTGATGAAGAATTAGTAACTTACAGTTTTAAAGGTTCAACGTACTGCAAATTCAAAGATTCCATGAACTTAGATGATTTAGAATTAAAATTAAACATGGAGCAAGGAATGGCTACCCTGAGTCTTCAAGAAGGCTACACCCACGATTTTGTGCTGCAGTTGAATGCCTGAGGTTTCTCTTTGCTGGGTGGTAGGACTGGATGCCACATCTGCTTTTATCGTAACGCTGGGTTCAACATGTTGGGAACCCAATGGGTATAAACAAACCTCCAAGGGAAGACACAACAGAAGCTGCATGCTCACTGAATATATACAACTACAGGAGAACTGATCACCAAGGAGACTTTAAAATGGAACTCCTTTCAAGATTCCTTCTTAGAAAGGCACACATCGGTATGATGCTCATCAAGAAGCCTGATGAATTCAGAGGTATCTTGTTTATCCCGTATCATCCAGAAGTCTTCAGTACTATATATTCTTCAATATGAATGCAGAAAAAAATAGGCTCCATTCTGTTGCCAAGACTCATTTGCTTGTAGCTACCATTGCACTCCAAAAAAAAAAAGGACTGCTTAAAACAATAAGGCACTTCTGGGTAAAATTTCTCTTGTATTTTGCGAACACTATTTACAAATTTAGTGCTAGGTCCTTGAAGTTTTAGTAAGAAAAATATGCAACAGAAAAAAGTCCACCAATACAGACAAGGAATGCATTTTGCAATGCAATACAAAACCTCCAGTGGCTCCAGTGAAGGCACAAGACTTGAAGGAAGTCGGGACACTGGTATTCCAAACAGGTGAGCCTAACATGGACGCTGCCTTCCTCAGGCTATACTAACCTTTACTGTTGAGGAATGTGATGGAGAAGAGTGGGTATCAAGTTTGCGACGTTTTTGTTCTATTAGAAAGAAAGGAGAAACAACAACCAAAAAAATTATGGTTAGAAAAAGAATATTTCTATTTAATACTTTTTCCAATTACATTTTAAAAATGAATGTGTTTTAGGTCATTAAGTATTCACTTCTTTATTAAAGTTTATAATTATTATATCACTGGGCACAGGTTCACAGAAAGAATGTAGTAAAACGACAGGATGCAAATATTAATAAAGTTGAACTTACCCCTTTCAGACTCTGATGTTTCTGATCGGGGAACAGGTGACTTCAAGGACCCAGCAACTGGCGTCTTTTCTCCTCCTTTAACATTTTCCTTGGATTTCGTTTCCTTCGCTACATCTTTCTCTCTGGGTGGTTCCTTGTCTCTTTCCTTTTCTACAGCTGACTTTGATTCAGTGTTGGTAACAAGTGTCTTGAATTTTTCATCTTTAGAAGACTTTTCATCCTTCTTGAATTTTTCCTTCTCCTTGTCAGACTTGGGTGTTTTTTCCTTGATCTCTTTTGCTTTATCATCTTTGTTTGCCCGCTCTTCCTTTGGTTTTTCTTTACCATCTTTACCAAGTGCCTTGGCCTCTGGAGTGGCAGCTGGAGTCTTTTCTTTTTTTTCTCTGTCTTTTTCTTTCCCACTTTTCTCTTTGTCATTTTCTTTAGTAACTTTGCTTCAGAGAGATTAGGACATAAGAGTTAAAAATTAATTCTGACGATTAAAAAGGAAACATCTATATGTAATCTTACAATTCAGGCAATACACTGCAGGTTACTCTTTCTCCCACCACTGCCCCAACCCCATCTAATTTCTACTTCATGTGAGGTACAAGATTTGAACCAGACCTTGGTGACTCCAAGGTAAGCCTGCTATCCTCTAGGTCATGATGTCTGATCTATCTATATAAGCTAAATAAACAGAAGACTGAACAAATAAAGTGGGCGAAAATTAATAAAGTGAATCTGATAAATCTAGACCTAGAAGGGAAGGCCATGTAATCTGACGACCTAATTTGACAGAGGATCATACTGAGGCCCCAGGGAGGTTAGGCGATTTGCATAAGGTCAAACAGCTAAGTAAGTATTAGAGAGAAGATTTGAAATCAGGTCTTCTGACTCCAAAGCCAATGCTCCTTCTACTGCACCACACTATCATACCTCACCAAAATTAGGCTCAAGAAATTCATAAATGACAAGTTTACAACAGAGGTTATTAATTGGAAGCTGTGCTTGACATACACACATACCATCAAAGATACCTTCCTTTAAAGTTAACAACCACACTTCTTCACAAACCATGAAGAAATACATGCATGAACAAACCAAAGATCTGACTGACTTGGTGTGATAATCACTATGTCCAAGCAAAAGCTGTACACTATATTTCAAAGCAAAATATATAAAGTTTTATGATTATCCCTTTCATCAATAATTCCATATTGACAAAATACAAATTCACGAATTAATATTACAGAGCATAATTAGAGCTACTACCTATTAGAAGCACTGTTTCCATTACTTGTAGTCGCTTTAGGTGTTGCACTGGCAGCTTTATTGGCAACTTTCACAGCACCCTGAGATTTCTCCTTCACTTTATCTGAAATAAGAAAAAAATAGACTTTAAATGAAAAGCTCCTATGCTTTCAGGCGGCAGTATTAAATAATATTTTTCCAGTAAAATGGCTACAGAGTAATGGCTACAAAGCAACAGCAACAACCTAGTAATTTCTCATGATGTTAAGACACTCTCTGCTACAAAGTTGTCACAAAACACCACCACAAATCCACCAGGATTTATGTCAATATATTAGTTTGTTGAACCAAATTTTTAACCTAATTTGGGATTACTTAAAATTTTCTACAGAAATGGCATACCAGTCTCCTCAGTAGTGCTTTCTTCCAATTTAGCTGCATTTATTGTGAGTGATGTAGATAGGCCAACACCACCGGGCCCATTTTGTACAGTGGCAGCAACAGCATTCCTTGGGGGAGGATCTTTGTGGTGGAATTCATTTTCAGGTATCATGTATGGCTTTCTACTTTTCAACTGCCCAGAATAGCTGAAATTCGCACAAAGTGTTAAATACACAAACAAAAATCAAGGTACAAAAAAAATGGGTCTCATTCTGTAAAATAACAAAAAGCAAGCTACATTTCACCTTTTGAAATATAAAGGTTTTCTCCCTCCCCACCCTCAACTCCAAAATTGCTGAAAGTCTATGGAGAGAGACTTAAACAAGTCTCTCTGTACTCCTCCTCTGAAATAAAAGAAAAAATCTCAAAACACAATGAAACTCAATCTAAAAATGTGATTTTCCTTTCACCGTTAGATTAAAACACTGCTAATTCATCTTGTGATAAAGCTACGTCCTTCCCTCAGCCCCCAAAAGCGAGACATCTTATAGGACTTTGAAACTGTCACACCATCCAGTATAAACCAGAAGCTGATAACTGGAAGTGACAACTCTCACCAGCCTGTGGGGACATGATCTCCTAATTTCCCGAAGTAAGTCAGAAGATAAAACTTCACCACTGTAAAACATTTCAAAGTCTTCAGCATCCTTCCGTTATCTAATTTCATAAACCACTTTATAATAAGATTGTGTTACCCCATAGCCAATGCATATAGGTCAGGTCTCTTCTCCTTCTCTTCTTGACAGATCTTATGCACTCTTCGTTCCAAAGCCTGGCCCAGGTTCAAAACTTTAGGATACCAAGGAAGTATTTTGGTCAGCACAATGAGAATGTTCCTGATATGAGTATATTCACCCGTTTCAAGGCAATGCACTGATGCCTACAATAGATTTTAAAAACTGTGTTGGACAATTTAAATCAATACTAAAAAAAAATTAAGCCTTTGAAAAATCACAACTTTGGTTTTTACCTTTGTTAGTTTATAATGCCACTTGTGTACAACATGCCGAAAATTCTCATAGTCTAACTGATCAGCTTTGTTTCCACCATCAAATCCAGTTGCCCGTAAAATGGTAAGGAAGCCTGGATAGTTACCACATTCCTAAGGAAAGAGTCAATATAAGTCAACATTTATTTAGCACCAAGTATGTTAAAGTCTAGGCATAATGCTAGGCACTAGAGATACAAAGATAAAAGTCAAAGTCCCTGCCCTCAAGGAACTTGATAACTAGTGTGGGAAAACAGCATGTGCATTTATGTAAGTATGTATAAAATGGATAAGAGATCATTTTGAGGGAAAGGCACCAGGGGAGAGAGATAGAGAAATATGGCAGGTAAAACCTGCAATAACTTAGGCAGTTGTGTGGAGGATGGACTGGAGTGGAGTACAGGGAGGCCAACAACTAAGAGTCTATTTCAACAGTACAAAATTAGGGCAATGGCCATATGAGTAAAGAGAAAGGGACAAGGGATCAATCACTATTATGGAGATAGAAATAACAAGATTTGATAACTGGTTGGCTGCATGGATACAATGAGGAGATAATGATGGCATACACAACGTTGTGAACCTGGGTGATTAAAAAGGTGGTGAGACCCCTGAAAGGAATAATGAAGTTTGGAAGTGCTGATGGGGGGTATGTGCAGTTTTAGGGGAAAATATAATAAGTTCTGTTTAGGATACAGTAACCTAAAGGACATCCAGTTTAAAACATCCACCAGGCAGGAACAAAAGTCATTTCCAAGGAACAACAAAAAATGGCACTTGACTGTTTAACTATACCCCTAAAGGGAAGAATAAATGTTTAAATACTAGATGGTCTTCTCATAAGAACTCACTGGCTTTATTCAATGATAAAACTGATTAAAAAAGGACTGCATTTAACTGAGCTCTATGCACCCCACAATACAAAAACCTAATGGGTACTTCAGTATTTGGTGACTTACCACTGACTACAGATAATAATCAAAATATGTATGACTCTTTTCCAGTAAAGGAACTATGCTTCTAAAGCATAGTTTTACTACGATGCAACCTTAAACTCAACTTTATTTTCAAAACTGAACTGACATTAACAGTTTTTAACTATTCATGTTACAGGTAAAGTTTAAGATAAAATTCATACCTTTTCATATATTGCTCTATCACTATGCCACCTAGTCACAGTTTCTAACATGCAGCAGAGAAATCTTCCATAGCGACTACCTTCATTTTCAGTACAGCTTGCTACTGTGTAAATTATATCAGAGAAAACCTACAAGTAATTAAAATATGAAACAAAGCATAAATCAGAATTACTTCTTCCAAAAGCCTTTATTCAATAATTTTTCTTACATCTTTTGAAATAAAAATTACTACCATGTATTATCATAAACTGAAGTAGCAATTTGTTTAATCTAAAACATTTTTGCATTTACATTCTCACACCTCCACTCAAGTCCTACGCCCCATCAATGGTATGTAGTGACCCGGGGCTCCTGAAGGCAATGCCTGGAAAGCACAAGCTCTCCAGTCCTCCAGAGCTCAAAAAGGCTTCAAGTATGGGCCTAAAGTAGTGTTGTTCTCCAGACTATCTCAGCCAACCCTGGGGGTCATATCACCATATTGTGAGAGAATGATTAACTTTTCAGCAACATCAATTCCCAAAGGCCATCTGCTAAATAACAAAAGGGTGTTTCACTACTCTGCATCAGTGAGAAATAATCGACCCCAATGAAACTGTAGGTGCCTGAAAAGTACTGAAAGGCATTCTTACTCAATACATGTAAGGGAAGGGAGAGAATAAGCATTTATATAGTGCCTGCTATGTGCCTACCACCACCATTTTTCTAAACAAATATCTCATTTGAGATATGGTCAATCTCCACTGAGAGAGGAATCCTTTAGAGAGGTCCCCCTAAGAGCAAGGGGAAGGGAGAGCCAGAGAGGAACTGGAATTAGCCATCCAACATTAACACAGAGCAATAGTTTGACTATCAAGAGGCATACATTTAAAAAAAGAGGAATGCATCAACACCAACAATTGGAAGGAAATTTTGTTTTACTGGTCCTTCCACTAAACCTCTCCAAAACATATACATATATATATATGGAGGTGTTTTGCATTTAGGGGGAAGGAAAGATATAATCTATACTATCCATGAGACTAAACATAGATAGATCCAATTGCTAAACCTTAATAAGTTCCTTAAGATATGCTAGGAAATTTTTTTTAAACTTGAAAGAAATACTATTTACAGTCTCATGGGAAGAAACCCACAGTTGTAAGATAAAAAACTTACTCGATCATAACACAAAAGTGTGGAAAAATTAAGCGTTTTCTGTTGATGTACCAATTCTACAAAACGAGCGCAGTAAACAGCATCAATCGCTGAAAAAATGCAGCGAGGAAATATACACAGTTGTAGAAATTTTGTAATGGTCTCATTTTTTGTAGATTCTAAAAAGGAAAAGAAATTAAGGGATGAATACTGCTTTTTCAGTCAAAGAATATTACAAATTTAATAGATATAAAAACTGCAGGCTTACTGTATGAAATACTAACAAATTCATCATTTGGTACCAAAAATTATACCAAGGATAAAATTCACATCTATGTTCTGTACATTTTCCGACTTAATTTGTAGTTTTTCCTAAAATAAAAACAAAAACCCCCATAGAAAGAAACGTGCAAAGTAAATTGTCATTAATAGGTAGTTTTCTTTACCTACGAAGCAGTTTCTAAAAAATCTTTCACACAGTTCTGTGAACCATTAGTTCCCTCAGAGAACAACTGAGAATAATTTTGCATTTACAAAATTAAGAGCCACGTAAGAGAAAACTACCTAATAGACTTAACACAAAAACATGACATATGAAAATAGCTCTAAAATCAGAAAGGCTTTCTTGTAAGTTTAACAGTAGGAAGAATGAATTAGCCCCATCAACTTACTTGCTAAAAGCCAGTTATCTTTTTCCAGTTTTAGTCTCTGCAGAACTCTCTGGACATGTTCTATCTGTTTCTTCTCTTCTTCAAGAAGTTTATCCTGAAGGGCAGTACAGCGTTCCTTCTCCTTTTTCTTTTTATTTGGAGGCTAATGGGTAATAAATAAATTCGATGTTTTTTCTAATTATGTACAATTTATCTCCATTTTCTTGAAATATTAAGATCACTGAATTAGAGGTTTTTGGGACAATATCTTTTTTTTCCCAATTATCTTCAATTACTTCAATGCAAACTTCAAAATCTACCTCTCTAAACCTGATCTCTAATAGCTTGCGATTTAATACCCTAGAGGAGGATATGCTGTTTTCACATTGAATTCAACACCCCCCAAACTGAACTCATTATTCTTGCCCTGAAAATGGATTCCCCTTCCCATGTCTGTCATTAGTACAACCATTGTTCCAGATTCCATAGTGAGAAATCTCTTTCACTCTTATCTACAGTCTTCTAAACAGCCATCGCTTCTTCCTTTAGTCACCCTTTCCTCTCTGCACCCTAGCCTAGTTTTATGCCAATCCTTCTGTAGCAGTGTTCTAGATACCCCAACTACAGTCCCCACTACCTACTAATCCCCCTCCTTGACAAGAAACCCACTACTCCCAACTATACACTGATGTCAGACCAATATTACCTAAATATTATTTTCATCTTATCTTCCCCCTTATCAGAATCCCAACAATGGCTGCCCTACCACCTACCACATTATGAAGTCTAAAACTCCTCTACTTAGCTTTCAAGATGCTTCATAATCTGGTCCCATCCTAACTATACAACTTTTATTTTACATTACTACCATGTAGATAGATGGATAGATATAGATTCATACATATCTATATATATACATCATATACATATATATACACACACATACATACAGGTGTGTGGACAGACAGACAGATAGAAATCCTCCACTCTAGTCAGAGATATCCTTATGTTTCTTTTTAGTTGTTGTTTGTTTTTTTTTTTTTTTAAATACTTCAAACTCATTCTCACTTTTACATCTTTGCTGATGTGGTTGGACTATTCTTTCCCGGAAAGCCCTACTTGTTTCTTGCCACCTATTCAAATACTACCCATGCTTGAAAACCTCAGTTCTCCATTAAAGTGTAGTTGATTATTCTAGCCCATATGTTTCTACTGAACCTCTGAATTCCAACTGTGTTTTATACAGTGTTCCATGAGTCTTAGTGCTATTTTAAGGTATTAAGGCTCAAAATGTCATTAGGACTCTGGGGATACCCTCTATGTGGGTCAATAACAGTTTAGTACTTAAATTTCTCTCGTTTTTAATGTACTACCTTTTTCTAAGTACACTACAATTTCCCTGAGGGGCAGCAGCCCTATTATATACAACTTCTGTATCCCTTAAAAGCACCTAACAGTGCTAGCAAGAAGAGAGTCAAATGCTCACTGATGGTAACAGCCTCACATACACCATGAAATATATAAATGATACATTCAGCCAGAAGTTTAGAATCAACTTCTGCAAAGATGAATTTTTTGACCAAAGCTACTAAGCTTAACCAGTAGTTATAAGTTAACACAAAGAAAGTATTCTAGTTGAGCTAATAGAATAAAAACATACCATTTCCTGATTGTCATCAACAGCTTTCATCTGGATTTTCAGTTTATTGACTTCTCTTTCATAGCTGTTACGTGGAACTGCAAGGTCATACATTGTCAATGACCAAAATGTGGCATAGAACTGGGGGCTGATGTCATCCCACACCTTTGGCAAATGCAAAGAGACCACTGCCTCATGGACTGGAGCCATCACTAACTCACACGATGTGATGTATTTATGAACTTTATGTTGCTGCTTACTTCCCTTCTCAGCTTTTTTAAGCTCATCATACTTTGACTGAGGATGAAAAATAAAAAACAAATGTTTACAGCACAAATGATTTCTTTTCTGATACATGGATTCATGCAGAGGCTCTAAGATTATTAACTCTACCAATTTCAAAACTAACATTCTACATTAGTTTGGCTAGGTACATCTTCAATAGATTTCAAAATTACAATAGCTCTGGATTATGGTGAAATACTAATTCATAGATCTATTCACACAAGATTTTCTTTCTAGGTAGTTCAAAGCCCTAGGTATTAACAAAAATACACGCAAAGCCTTCCATAAATCAACATCACTGGTAACCTTTTTTGCTATCCAACTCATACACACACATTATGAAACCATAGTTCAGAAAAATTTAGAAGCTTTTTAAAATATTTACTCACTGAGATATGGTGTGCATACATAGGCCTAGACAGGAAAAATGCTGCATCATGAGGTGTGTGGTACTCATTACAAAGCACATCAATTGAAGGCACTCTCTTTATATAATCCTCTGTGCTTAGATTAGATGCTAAAAAGCCACCAAACTGTACCAGGGTATCATGACACTAAATTGAAAAAACAAAGATAAAAACGACCATATAAATACACTACAAGATTCCCTCAAAATAAAGACTTCCTTTTAAGAAAACTTATAAAATGAGCTTTTAAATTAACTACTTCACTGAATCAAAAGTTAAATTTAAAATCATTAAATGTTAGAGCTAAAAGGTAACTTACAGATCATCTACTCAAATACTCTTACCTCACAGATAAAAATCTGCCAGGCCAGAGAGGTCAATGTCTTATCCAAAGTCACACAAGGAGTTCCAGCTTTGTCACAAACTAGTCTGACTTCTAAGATAGTGTTATGTTACATTTTGTGAAAGAAAGTAACTTACCTAGATCACAATACATATGTTTTGTGTTTCAGAAAAATTTCTTACACTACATGGTCTCCTAATCTCCTGCATTACAGACTGTGCTTTCTAAATTCAGTTGCTCCTTCAACTTTGACATATGATCTTTGGCTTTCAAATTATTAAAACATAAAAATCTAGATTTAGTAAAAAGACAATAGCCACCACAATTATATCTGTGGTCTGAGATTTGAAATAACTATTAAAGAGGCTAGATTTATTTATCATGAAATAAATTAAAATTTACAGACATCAGTTATAGAATTTCTATTTAGGTGAAAGTCTAAAGATATTGCAACACATACTAAATCAACTCTACTACAAAAATTCTACCCTTCACTCACTTGTTTTGCTATCAAATCCTTAAATATACCACAGAGTGACATGCACTGTAGACAGGAAGTCTCAATTTGATATCTGAGAATAAATGAGCATAATACAATCTAATTGTGCGTATCTATTATTTTCTACTTTTTGTGCTCCAAATTAAGTATTTATTAAAAAATACAAACCACATTTACTTACCTGGTCATATAATTTTCCCACAAGCTTTAAGTGTTTCTCTCCTCCTTCCTGAAAGATTACACCATTTCTCTGCTGAGCCATAAGCAGGCATAGAGGAAGGGCAAGATCATGGTCCAATAATGCATCCTTTAACCTCTGAGAGGATTTTTTAGTGTTTCTGATCTGTCCAAAATAGCCACCCTGCACCCCCCCAAAAAAAAATTACTAAGTTTCAATACACACAGACACACACAGACTCACGCACACATACACGCACAAAATAGCACAAGTTCCAGACATGTGACTTCTTCAGGATAAAAAAACCCCAGTGAGGAAATTTCCTCTACCAAAGCAGATCAGCAACTGTTCTGCAATTATAATCTTAGAAAGTTTGCCTGGAGGCACTGAGAAGTTAAGTGACTAATCCAGGGTTACAAAGTCAAAATGAGTCAGAAAGACAACTTGAACCTAACTCTTTCCGACTCTAAGGCCAGCTCCCTCTACTATACCAGGTTGAAATACATTAACCACCTACTTTGAAAAAGATACAACAAATAATCATGTGCCTTAAATAAAATTATAAACCCACAATTTCAACATCCTCTACTTCTCTTCCTCTAAGAGATGCCCCCTAAATATAGAATACTATCTACTACAGTTAATCAATTAAAATGTTGGCAGTTTAACACTTTATATTGCTGCCTCTTCCTTCCTCTTTACTCTCTGCAATCCTTGTAATGGGTATAATTTTACAGATAGTGCTTTTCAATAACTATTAGAAGAAATGAACTAGACCAAAACTGACATCTGCATGACAAACAAAACTAGAAGATAAAGAAATCTGCAACTAATGAGAAAGTTGGTCAAAAGGCTGGAGAATCAAAAGATTTAGCAGAGCCAGTTTCATTACGCAGGCAAAACCAACCACAAATATAATTTTAGAGGACAACTGGCAATCTTGTCTCACAACATCCATGATGAACATAACATAAGCAATGGAAATAACTGTAGCTTATGTACCAAAATCTGAGGAAGAGCAATCGGAAGACAGAGGAATTTTATGAAAAGTTTGACCAGATTCTCCAAACCAAAGCAACATATACTTTGATACTCAATGACTTTGGTGGGGATGGACTGCGCCAAGACTGACATACTTGATGTTCCCTCAAATACCCTAACTTCCTTTAGTCCCTTTCAATCTACTCAACTCCCAAGACCTAATCCTCCACTCCATCTAAGCTAGAAACAGGACCAGTCACACTCTTAATTTTGCCACGTTGAACATCCATGTTCAAGAATGCCAAAATTCCATTACTGAATCATGGTCTTTTTTCCAATCTCTCTTTATCCCTTACTACTCCCCTAAACCTATTTTTCCTTCTCACAATGACCTCTAATCCCTCTACTCCTCAATATTTCCCCTGAAAATCATCTCAGCTCTGACTGAGGCTGTTCCCTCTTCTCCTCATCTCACACAATAATATCTAACAGCATTTATATAAAGCTTTAAGTTTTGCAAAGCACTTTAAATGTTGTCATTCGATCTTATCCCCCTATCATACCAAACTAAATCTTCCTTAATTTTAGTCTCTGATGAAGAGATGGCCCTTTCCCCTTGATAACCTCAAACCCATCCCATCTTCTCCACTCACTATCATCACTCCCTACTTCTAATCTTCAATCTCTTCTTCTCACTACTGATTCTTTCCCTGCTGCCTCCCAGCACACCCAAATTTTCCAGGCCATAACGAATTCTTCTCTCTGACTATATCTGCTGGCTCCACTTCCTCTCCTCTTCCTCTCTTCTAAATCCTCTGCAATCTGGCTTCCAAACTCATCATCATTCAGCTGAAACTGCTCTCTACAAAATTACCAATGGTCTCTTTATTGCCAAATCAAATGACCTCTTTTCAATCTTTATCTTTCTTGTCAGCTCTGCAGCACTTAAAAGTGTTGACCACCTTTTCCTCCTGGACACTCTCTTCTTGGGGCTTCCATACTGCCACTTTTCTATTTCCCTCCTGCCTACCAGGTGGTACTTCTCAGTTTCCTTTGCTGGATTTTCTTCCATATCACACTTACTAATGGTGAGTATATTCCAATGCTCAAACTTTAACCTCTTCTTTTTTCTCTCTCAAACGATAGCTTCATCAGGTTCCATGGGTTCCAATATTTCTACTCCAGTAACTCATAAATCTATGTATCCAGTCCTTACATCCTTCCTGAGTTCCAGTCCCACATCATCATCTGCCTTCTGAACATTTCAAACAGGATGTCCCATAGATATCTCAAGTTCACTATTACCCCCAAAATCCACCCTTCTTTTTAAATTTCCCTAATTCTCTTGAGGGTAGCACTATCCTTGCAGTCATCAAGATTCACATCCTAGTAATCACCCTTGCCTTTCCTCGACCTCCTCCACATATTTAGTTGCCAAGCCTTATTGATTCTACTTTTTTTTTATTAGTATTAAAAATGATGATGATAATAATTCTACTTCCACTTCTCTTGTATATATCCCTTTCTCTCCACTCACATGGCCACCAACACATTTCAGGCCCTCCTCATCTCTAATGATTTTCTAATTAACTGATCTCCCTGAGTCCAGTCTCTTCCCTTTCCCATCCATCCTCCACCAGCTGACAAACTGATATTCCTAAAAGCAAAAATCCTACCACACCAATCCCATGCTTAAAAAGCTCCAGTGGATTCCTACTGCCTCTAAGATAACATACAAAGTTTTCTGTTTGGCATTTAAAACCTTTCACAATCCAGCTCTAGACTGCCTTTCCAGGATTATTACATGTTATTCCACTCTGCACATTCTATTTACCTCAGAGTCAAACTGGCCTATTTGCTCTGTGTGTGTGTGTGTGTGTGTGTGTGTGTGTATATACGTACGTACAAACAGCTCTTCTTCTAGGTCTGTACCTTTGCAAAGGCTATCCCCCATTCATGAAATGCTCTATCCCTCCTAATCTCTATCTCTTAGGACACCCACATCCCTTCAAAGATCAGGCCAAGTGCCACCTCCCACAAGGGATCTTTCCCGATTCAATGCCCCCAACTGTGAGTGATCCCCAAAATTATTTAACATATTTTGCATTTACTTGTATGTGTACACATTATTTCCCTCCTGATAGAAATGTAAGGTCTTTGAGGATAAGAATGTTTGGTTTTGTCTCTGATAACTCCAGTGAGCAGCACAATGCCTGGAACTTCATAGACATTTAATATATACTTGTTGACTGAACATGACAAAAAAAATGAAATTTACTGTGTTTTAGATATAATAAATGACTGGGTAGTGATGTGAGTCATATAAGAAATAAGTGTGTATGGTCACAACAATTAAAGCACAAGTAAAAATCAACATCAAAATCAGAACAAAGGATAAAGATGAAACAACGATGAGAACAAATACATCAGCCTCAAGATGACCTTAAACAAGCTGCAGATGCCCAAAAAATGGAAATTTGAAATAGGCAAAAGATATTGACCTTGATTATCATCATTTCTTGAAGTTTAAAAGATACAATGCAGTTGCCACAATGAGGCTAAATGATCCCAGAAACTTAGTCAGCAAACACTATCTTCTTGCCAAGTAGAGAGGCATGTCAACATGAGGAAGCACCCATTCAGAATAAAAATTTACCTGGAATACACTATGGAAGATGATGGTGAAAGATTAAGAGCAATAGCACTCACAAAATGGCAAAAAGCAGTGGAGGCAAAAATTCAATCCACAGAAAGCTTGATGAAGACCCAACTAAGCTATATCATCTCAAGAGCATCTACAGATGCAACTGTCGGAGGACAAAAAGAGAAAATAGAATGGTTTTGCTAAGCTTTCTATAACAATCTATTTTCATCATCATTGACAGAGGAACCATTACATATGGACCCTAACATCTTGGTATTAGATAGATGTGCTAAGATGAAATGGCAAAGAGGAAGTAGGAAAAAGTAGCTGGACCAGGCTAAATCTACATCCTGAAAATCTATGCTGGCCAGCAAAATCATAATCTTGACAGCATTGTAGGATCATTTTACAAGAAAATTCAGAGAGGGGAAGAGACCAAAAGAAGAAAAAATGATGAATGTTTCTACTACTGAGCAAAAAAGGAAATCAAAAGAACAATAACTATTAACACAAATATTAATTTTCTCACCTTTACAAAAGAAAATAATCTAAACCTATGCATCAAAGAGCATTCTTGATGAAATTAAGAAAGTTAACACGCAGGCTTTCAAAAACAGTTTGCAACAGTACATATCTTATAGCCACACAACTGACTGAAAGGAACAGAAACTACAAGATCCGGTCATGTTTATTTTTAGATTACTAAAAGTATTTGATTTAGTAGAAGAAAACATAGTCCTAAAAGTTTTTCTCCAACAGAGAATTGTTCAGTATGTTAAGATGATACAAGGTGATTTGACAAATGCAACCAGAAAACTCTATCCAATGACCCTCTAACCAAATGATCTGTTGTCAAAACAAGGCATAAAACAGAGATATGCCAAAGGTGTTTGCACAGTCATGGAGGATATCCTACATAAGACCCAAACAGAAGAGAGATTCTATATGATGTCCTCCATTATGTTCCTGTTTGCAAATAAAAATTGTTTGTTAACATGTGATTTTATCAATGAGATCAATAGTTACTCAAGAGATAGGCCTAATAATTCATTGAGGAAAAACTAAATGGATAAAAAATGCCTATTGTCCAGACAATGACATGTAGTTAGATGGCCAGTTCAACGAGGTAATACATGTTAACCCATCCCCCCCACCCAACTACCCTCTATGTTTATATGTGTGGATATATATGTGTATACACATACAGACATGAACATAAATATAACTGGGACATACACTGCAGATGGACAACGAATAGGACTCAAAATTGAATAGGAAGAAAGAAAAGAGTTGAGTTTTACTACATTTAGGAAACTGTGCAGTGCTTTTCAACAATGCTAACCACACTAAGACTTGTTTATTTTTTAACACAACTTTTCTCCTGGCAATAGTGATAGAATCGGTTAGTGATTCATGGATCACCACTATCTCCAAAAATCAAAGTATAAGTCACCTTAAATGATGCAGATGACCCAAAGTAAAATGGAGGGATGCATGGTGGACCTGAGTTAATTGTAGCATAACTTAAAGAGAAGAGGCATAAGAAAGTTCATCAAGAAAATGTATTAGCAGAAAAGGAGATATGTAAGTTATGTGGCGAAAGTGAAGGATGGACAAACAACAGTATTGTACTGATACTAAGGAAAAGTGTTTTGAAGGGGGTGGGTTGTTTTTTTTTTTTTTTTTTTTTTTTAGAAGACCTAGAGGAACACCTCCAGCACAGCAACTAGATTACCTGTGCAGGACCTATGGAAAAAAAGACAACACTTGCAAAGGAGTCACGAAAGAGTTGTGATCTGTGCCAATCCTGGGAGTATCCACATCTATGAGATAATAAATTCACTGATTGAACTATTACAGTAACATAGTATAATGCAGAAACCATATTTTCAAACTTTTTGAAAATAAAACATAACTGTATTAAGAACAAACCTAATTAATGCTGCCATGTAGAATTTGGCATTTAATTCACTCAAAAATTTGTTAATAATCAACTATTTTATAAGAGGAAAAAAAATAGGTTGAGTTTACATAACCATCTCAAAGTATACTCACCTCAGCTTTAAGCTGTTCCCCACCAGTCATGGCCTCTAGTTGCTCCATTGTTATTTCTTCAGTAATTTCAATTCCTGCCATTTTTTGTACCACCTCTTTCAAAATAAGTAGGTCAAAGCTATTCAAAAGGAAAATAAGAAACATGCTTATAGCAGAAACTTAAAATACAGAAGCAGCAGTATATTTTAATTTTGTAATAACATGTGATTCAAATAAAACATACATTTTTATTGTGAGGGAAAAAAAGGGAACTAGACCTGGGATTTCATTGACATGTGGATTTCATATGCCCCTGTTTCATGATGTAGATTTCGAATAGTTCAATAACTTACCTTAGAGAGCTGTACCCTAGAACACTGAGAAGTTAAAAAGCCTATTCCAAGATCAGAGACAGGACTTGAACTCAGGTCTTCCTGACTCAAAAATCTAGATCTCTATCCACTACAATGTGCTTCCTCTTCATTATATGTATATATATGAAAATACTACTACAAATAAGTTGTTAAACATGTTTTTTTTTCTAAAAATTATCTTAGAGCAGGAATATTTTAAAAATTAAAGTTTTAGAAGAATAAAAATATCCCTTCAAAACAACAAAATTCAGAGTATTTAAAGCACATATGCAGTAAGCAGAATGTATAAGAATCTCAATAAATCCCCAAAATCTCTGTATTGGCATATTAGATGTTATTTAAACTATGCTCACAGATGGCTTCCAAAAGCAATGAGTCAGTATTCAAGCCAAGGAAAAAAAGAAGAGCAGAAACCAGATTACATTTCAATACTTTTCTCTCCAATGCCAGTACTTACATATTTTAATCCTGCAATACCAACTTTAAAGAATTTCCTTTCAAGCACAAATTTAACCTTAGAAATAAAGCTTTATAGCTTCTAAAACCATCCTTTGTATATAAAAAAGATGACACGGAAAAAAGTCTTTCCAGAGGTGGGATGAGGGAGAGATCTTTCATAGGTCTAACTAGCCACATAAAGGACACCAGCAAGTTAAAAGTTATAGATGCAATTTTTCAAGTTTATTAGAAAGTACTTAGACAACAATCAAGAGAAAAGCATTGGTTTTCTTTTAACGATTTTGTAATTTTTTTTTTAAAGAAAGGTCTATTTCAGAACAAAAGTAAACATTCAAAGAAATTGGTATATGTCAAAAGCCAAAGAGAAACCTGGCAATGAAATGTAATCAAATACTTATTAAGTGCCCTTTATGTACCAGGCAGGATATGCTAGGTATTAAAGATACAGATAGAAAGAATGAATGACATTTTTATTAGCTATCTCTTTATTTGCAAGGAAAGCATATATTCTGTAGGCAAAAGCCTACAATTCTGTGGGTCTAATGATATGGAAAACAGTAGAAGGAAAAAGCATAATAGCTAGGAGTAACCAAGAAGATAGGGTCAATGTAATAATTTTAGTGACCAAAATAATGAAGTTTTCTAATTTTTTCTTTAAAAATTAGGTACCTATCAGGAATGAAGCCCATCTGGAAAATCAGCATCTGGTGGTATTTCAGAATATAAATACAATCTCAGGTCCTTGACTGTGGCACAAATGTCAGTGTTAAATATTTTTTAAAAAGTAGTATTTCAAAATATAAGCAATCTGTTCTCTAAAATTAAAATTCTTAAGTTTAGAATCATTTGAGTAAGAGGCACGAGCACCTCCTCCTCCAAAATATAAATGTTACCATTACAAATGAATAATGTTTAAAGGATCAGAGTACTCTCACCACTTGGTGGTAGTTAGGAATAAAAACTAAAAGTACATTGTGATCTACCATAAGAGTATATGTATAATCTACAACATCAATACTATTCTCTCAAGTACTCAAAAACTTTGTAGTTAATAAGTTTATTTTGGTAACATGTACAAATAATAATGTTTTGTAGGAAAATATTTATAACCTCATACCTACCGTATTGGTCAAATTGACAAAAAAGGGAAATGACAAAAGCTGGAAGGGCTGTGGGAAAATAGGTACTGCTGCACTGTTGGTGGAGCTATGAATTGGTCCGGCCATTCTGGAAAGCAACTTGGAATTATGTTTCAAAAGCTGCTAAACTATGCATATTCTATGCCTATACCCCAAAAAGGTCAAAGAAAGATGAAATGGACTTATATGTACAAAAATATTTATAGCACTTCTTTTTGAGATGGCAAAATATAAATAAATAAAGACTGAGGGGGTACTCATCAATTAGGCAGTGGCAGAATAGGTTAGGGTATATGTATGTGATGGAATATTATTGTGCTATAAGAATGATGAAGTGGATGGTTTCAGACAAGTATATGAAGACTTCTATGAAGCAATACAAAGTAATGAGAGCAGAACCAGGAGGACAATTTATGCAACAGCAATATCGCAAAGACAGGCAACTCTGAAAGACTTAGGAACTATAATCAACACAGTGATCAACTACAATTCTAGAGGACTCAAACATGCTACCCACCTCCTGAGAGAGGGTACTCAAAGTAAAATTTGAGACTTTTCTTTGGACATGGTCAATGAGGCTTTACTTGACTATACATATTTTTAACAGGTTTTGTTTTTCTTGCTTTCATGGGGGGTTGGAGGGAGAGAATACAGATCTGAAAATTTTAAAATGTAATTAAAAAAAAATACCCATAGCTTCATCGGATCCTACACCTGATGAACCCAGAGGTTCAAACGGACCTCATCAGAAGCCATCTAGTCCAACCGTCTCAGTATAAAGGAGAAAACTGAGGCCCAGCAAGGAGAAATAACTTAATCATGGTTACACAAAGCATCATAGACCTAGAGCTGGCAGAGGCCATATAATCCAACTCCTTTATTTTATAGAAGGAAACTTAGGACTAGAATGAGGAAGTGACTTGCCCATTGTCACAAAGGTAGTAGTAAGTGGTAGGGCTAGGATTTAAAGCAAGATCCTCTGACTCTAAATGTACTATTGTTTCCACTAAACCATGCTCTCTGTCATCATTAGGTGTTCACCAAGTACAGATGTTTTAATGGATTATTATTTTTGTTTATATTTTTCTACTTACATGATTTCAACACAACAACAGCACAAAAAATGAACTTGAATGTGAATGGGCACAAAATCTACATTTCACACCATACTAAAGTCTATGACTGAGTCAAGTAAATTTATTATTCTGCTCCTTGGGTTTGTTTTTTCTTATTTTTTTAAATACCAAAGACATTTTCCAATATCATTCCTACTCCCCAAAAAGCTCTTCTCACCACAAACAAAAACAGTTAAATTGTAGGAGGATCAACATCTACTCTACAAACACTGGGTTAGATTTCTCCCTAAAAGGTAAAGAAAGTGTCCTGGAGACTTAATTGGTCCAGAAAATTAAGGTTTGAACCCTTAACAAAATTTTTTTGTTTGCTCAAGTCTAAAAACAAAGTCCTTGAGGAATCACTTCACTGTCTGGGCACACTACAATGGCAAATATGGAGGGCAAGGGGAACCATATCCAACTGAATCAATGTAGTATCCACCCCGTATTTAGCATGATATCGTAAAGTAAATTTCTTTTGCTAAATGTCAAACAATCAACTCATTTTGTCCCAATCACAAGGCTGAACCTGCTAGTTCAACATAATTACAACCAAAGAACACAGCTACCTCCTCTAATTTGGCACCAATATTCTCCCATTTCTCTACAAAGAGAAGGGAGGTATATCCCACCATTAGTCCTCTGGAACTAACATTGATCACAGCTTTTAATCCAGAGTCAGTTGCCTTTTAGTACTGTTTATATTTACTTTGTCGTAGCTTTTGTATCTATTGTTTTCCTGACTGTTCTTTCTTCATTTAAATAAAGTTACTCTGTATAATAGAGCTCAAAACAGCTGGACACTCACAGTAATTAATGTAAAAGTACTGATTAAAGAAAAAATTTTATACATACCTTTTTCCTGCTTTTAGCTGATTCGCCACATATTGAAGAAGACCAGCAAGTTCAATTGGATATTTACGAAAAACCGCACCACAAAAACTTGCTAGGCCTAGGTATGAAACGACATGAAGTATAATTAAAAGGAGTTCATGATATAGCATATTATTCTCTCCAATTAAATTTACAAAAATAAGAAGAGGTAGAAGACTAGTTGATTTTACTGATGACTTTATCAGAGTATTTACCAATAACTCTGAAGAGTATTTTGTAACATCTATTTATTCACCTCCAGTCAGTTAGTAGTTTGAAAACTTTAACCATACAATATAATAATGTCTTTATTAAGCACCTACTATGTGCCAGGCAACAAATATGCATTTTAAAACTAATATCTCATCTGACCCTCACAACCACCCTAGGAGGTAGGTGCTCCTCATTTTACAGTTCAGGAAACCGAGGAAGAGAGAAGTTAAGTAACTTACTGAGGGTCACACAGCAAGCATCTAAGGCTAGAATTGAACTCAGATCTTCCTGATTCCAGCTCCAGAGCTCAATCCACTAAGCCACTCAGCCACCTCAAGTAGCTGTTTAAATTAGGGAATATTCTCCTGAGGTAGAAACTCCTACATATATTAAAATACATAAGAAGAGCAATACTCACTTTGAAGCCAGCTTGAGATAGTTGTATCATCATGTTTCATTCTTTCTTTCTCTGGATTAGCCAAAGCTTCAATAATGCAATCTTGTACAGTATTAAGAAAAATAGTTATTTGTCAGAACCTCTACTAATTTCCCTTTAGGAAAACATGACATACTCTAATGTCTTTAAAAAACTGTAAAAACTATTGTTTTCTAACTACAGTAAATGATGAGACAAAATGCATTTATTCTTAGTTCCTCTTACTCTTAGCAGGGAATCCTGCTAAGGATTGGGAACCCAATCACACAAAGCCAAAAAAGGTGGTTGGTGAACACAAAAATCTTTTCTTCCTCTTCCCACAAGACAAAAACCCATCTAAGCATAGGAAGAAATAATCAAAGGAAATGATCATTCCTCTATATACTCCAAGAAGCAGAATGGTAAAGCAGAAAGCTAGCTGGTTCTTGGAAGTCAGGAGATCTGGATTCAAATTCTTTCTCTGACACTTCATGACTTTAAGCAAGTCATTTCACCTTTTTGGGCCCACAGAAGCTTCATCAGTCAAAATAGTGAAAATAATATGCTTACACTAAACATAGGCAGTTGTGAAGAAAGCCCTTCCTAATTTTAAAGCTATAATAGCTGGCATCTGTATAGCACTTTAAGGTTTGCATATGTTATTGCTATAGAAATTTGAGGAGGAAGGGAGAAGTACAGCAGCCATTAAAGCATAGAACTCATGACAGAAAATCCTACGGAATCAAAAGATACTGAGACAACTACTGGTTGAAAGCTATAAAATAAGCCCAGAAAAAGTGACCATATACCTATAAAATAATAAAATCCAAGAGACAATGGTAGAAAGGGAAATGCCAATCAAAATAACTACAAAATGCATAAAATGCTTGAGGATAAATTTACCAAAGCATACAAAATACTTACATGGATTCAAACACAAAGTGCTCTATAAAGAAATAAAAACAAATACCTTGAGGGCTATTCAATGGTCATGGCTGAGCTGTGCCAATAAAAATGACAGTACTACCTAAGTTGCTTCACAGTTTTAATGCTTTAACATAACTATCAGAGGGATATTTTGCAGGGGGAAAAAAATGCTGGGAAAAATGCTCAGTAGCCTAACAGAAATCAGGTTTAGACAAACAACTCACATCATATATCAAACCAAGATAAACAGTATATGAATAAATGATTATATTTTTTAAAAGGTCACATCATAAACAAATTAAAGGAGCAAGGAAGATAAGAGAAGAATTAGAAGATAAAATGGCCAATTTTGATCAAATACAATTTAAGTTTTTATACAAATAAAATCAGTTAAGAATAAAGAAGAAACAGTGATAAATGTCCCATTTCCAATATATATAAGGAAATGACAAAAATTTGTAAAAATAAGAGCCATTCCCCAACTGATAAATGATCAAAGGATAAGCAAGCTATCTAGAGACATTAAAGAATGTTCCAAATCACAAACAATTAAATAAATACTAATTAAAGCAACTCTGAGGTTCTACCTTATACCCATCAGATTGGCTAAGTTGACTAAAAGACAGGAAAAGACAGATGTTTTAGAGGCTGCAGGAAAACAAGCAAATTAATGCACTGTTAGTGGAGTTGTGAATTTGTCCAGCCATTGTGGGAAGTAACCTGGACATATGACCAAAAAGTTACTAAATCATACAAATGCTTTGATCCAGCTATACCACTATTAGAGCTATACCACAAATAGATGAAAGAAAGAAGATCTATACATAACAAAAACATTTAAAGCAGCTCCTTTTATGGTGGCAAAGCATAGAAACTAGAGGTATCCACCAATGGATGAACTGTGTGGCTGAACATATTGTGGAATATATCTAATGGAATAGTTATCCCTTCCACATCATGACTTTCCCCATCGAGGTTTTGATATGTGGCAGGTCGGCACAGGAAATTAAATGGGAATTTTGGGGGAGTTTTGGGGAAGCCACAGGTAACACCTGAAGGTCAGCAGACAACACAGAGCCTATGACCAAATATTTAACCCAAAATTTACAATAAAGTACACCCCATAAAAGAAAGAGAAATAATTCAAACTTCTTCTCTTGTACAAAGGGAGGGCCAAAAAATTTTATGATGATTTTCCAAACTGCAGGGGTACCATGACCCTAACCCCTGCGATGTGGAAGGGATAACTACATTATTATGTTGTAAGAAATGATAAAAGGAGTATTTGCAGGGATACCTGAGAAAAACTCTTATGAACCAATGCAAAATGAATTGAGCAGAACCACGAGAACAATTTACACTGTACATCAACACTATAAAACCAAGTAACTGTCAAGACTCAAGGACTGTGATCAATGTAATGACCATGTTTCTAGAACATCAATGAAGAAGAATACTCCCCAATCCTTAACAGAGAGGTGAAGGATTAAACATGCAGAATGAGACATATTTCTGGACACAGCCAATGTAGGAATTTGTTTTACTTGACTGCATATGTTATAAGGATTATTTTTCTTTGGGGAAAGAAAGGGAAGAGGGAATGAGAGAAAATTAAATAAACTGAAAAAAGATTTTGTTTTTATTTTTGTTTTAAAAAATAACAAAGCAGGGGCAGCTAGGTGGCGCAATGGATCGAGCACCGGCCCTGGAGTCAGGAGGACTTCGAGTTCAAATCCGGCCTCAGACATGTAACACTCACTAGCTGTGTGACTCTGGGCAAGTAAATTAACCCCAACTACCCCCCCAAAAAAACAGCAAAGCACATAATATCTTTACCTACCTGAAGTGTTGTAACATTTTAATACCAATAATAATAGTTTATAATAATAGCTAATACTTACATAGCACTTGGTATGTTTCAGGTATAGTGAAAAGTGCTTTATAAATATTACCATTTGATTCTCACAACAAATCTGTGAGGGAGGGGCTATTATTATTTTTACAGATGAGGAAATAGGGAAACAGAATAACTTGCCCTGGTCATATACTTATTAGCTGTATATGTTTAAAAAAAAAAAACTACCACCTGACAAAGTCTAACCAAAGATTATTGCTAAAAAGAGATTCAGTTTAAAAATATCTGTTGGTTTTCTCATTTACATGTCTAAAATCACTTATCTGGAGAACTATATTTTTCGTGCATTGGTTTCACAATTCTTACATCTCCATACTACTCTACTTAAAAGGATACAGGCCAAGACATCATAGTTCAATGAAGTGAGGTATTTCAATGAATCAACTACTGGTGTTATTAAGTTGTCATACTTCTGTATTTGTGATAAAATCTGAAAGAAAAAAAAAATAGATGCAACTTAAAATTTAAAATGCCATCAGACATGGTTAATTAATAACTAGGATATGCCAGCAGATCAGTTGCTAAATAAAGTTATTCAATTAAAAAGTTTTTAAAGAGTCTTCTAAAGTTTAGGTTCCCATCTTAGTTGATGGTGATAGCAAACTAAGTCTTTATCATCTGTTAAGAATATTTTTTATTAAATCATTTAAAAACTGGTTTTTAATTAAGAAATCAATTTTAAAGTTGGGAATAACAAAACCTACCTACCTCCAAAAAGCCATGAGGAAAAAGCTGCTTTGTAACCTTAAACCACCACAGAAATAATCATTATAATGATAATACTATGAATAAGCTAAACCTTACTTTCAGTACTATAAAATAGTAGCATCTCATGAAAAAAGTTTTTTAAAATTTCTCTATTATGAAGGAACTGGTGCTACATTTGGGCTACAACACAAGCATTTTCACAGTACTGGCATATAGTAGGCATCTAATAAAATGTTTATTGATTGATTTTTCACTCTTAATCCAATTCACAACAAAAATCTTGATTGTTATTTCCAATAATGCCTTTACAAAAACAAAGTAATCCAAAAATTATAAATAGCTTTATAGTAGCACTAATATTTATTACTAAAGTATTTGATCAAAATATTATATTATTGTATTATGTAGTAAAGAAATTACACTATCTAGCCTCACCACAAAGATTTCTAGTAAAGCTACAGTTTTAATTTATACAATAATAATACTGTAAATATAAAAATGTTGGAAAACTAAGTCTGATCTATGAAATAACTAATCATGACTCCAAAGGATTCATTATAAAAAAAGCTATCCCTCTACAGATAGTTTTTGGACGTGGGAGTAAAAACTAATGCATATTTTGTTTTCTTTTTCCTTTTTTTGGGGGGGTGGGTGAGGGAAATATGGTTCACATAGTCATTTGTTGTTGTTGGTTTTTTTTTTTTGACGACATATTTATAACAGAATTTGTTTTTCTTGCATTCTCAATGAGGGTAAGGGAAAAACATTAAAAATGAAAATAAAACTGAATTTTTAAAAATTTTAAATTTACTGTTTACCCAGTAATAACTAATATTTATATAGCACTTTAAGGTTACAAAATACTTCATATATATTATCTCCTTTGATACCATAATGAAGACCTACAGGGAAGAAGTAGAATTAAGGAATCTCAAAGACCATACTGAATCTCAAACATCATCTAAAATGTTTATTTAAAATGGAGATGTTTACTTAAATTTATCTAAGATGTCTAAGATAGAAAGATAAAAATGAAAACAAGTCTTTTGAATGGTTTTTTACATTAACTTGCATCTTAATACATACGTAATCAAACAAAATGGTTGGATTGCTGTGGCTCAATTTCCCAATCTGTCTTCCAGAAGGCTTCACATTTTCCTTTGTCAATCGCCTGGTGAATGGGGAAAAAAAGTGGCAGGGACCATTTATCTAAACTATCTCTCCCACTATAAAATTCATAGAAGCTACTTTCAATACAGTTTTTACCAAAATACATAAAGTAATACATGTAAATGCCCATTCTGAATTGTTTTTGTGGCAATCAGAAAACCATCTGTGTTAAGAACACTCCAAAAAGATATTTAAGATGTAAATGTCAAAAATACTTTTTAAAAATTCAACATTAATAATTCAAAAGTCTTAATAGTTTAAAGACTTTAATGATTTATACAGTTCCCTACAGCAATGAAATCAGAGACTATATTCAAAAAAGTTTTTGCACACTCTCACAATTTCTCTATCCAAGGAAAAACAGTCTTGTTATTAACATCTATGAGACCTAAAGAAACCTCCATTCTGCTTAGCACTGTATTATGTCAGAGTCTATAATAAGGTCTGTATAATCTCTATCATTATTCACAGTCAAAGCAAACAAAGCAACTTATTGATTTTATTCCTTTCTCTACTCCTTGCTGATCCAACTTCCCCAAATGACCTGGTGGTTTTAGTTTATCTTAAGGGGTGAGATGCTCACTATTCCAAAAAAAGAGAACCTTTAACTTTTCAGAGAAAAGGCACTAAATAAACAAATAAAAACATTCACAAAAATTTTTAAATGGTGTGAGTTGTTAATATGTAAAGAGAAATGACCACATTGGAAATAACTTCATCTTTTTATCCTAAGTTACTTCAAATAACAACCATATTCAACTACAAAAAAAGATCACGGTATCATACCAAGTCTTACTATTAAAGTTCAGATCATTAAAATCTGATTAAATGAATTAAGTCTGTATATGTCCATAAGAAGCTTATATTCTCTTGGAAAAAAAACAAAATAACCCTATCAGAGATATATAAAGGATGCTTTGCTTTTGGCTTTCAATCACCAGCACCTGGCAGGTACTCAGTAAATAATTGTTGAATTCAATTTTTCAATAGCCTTCCAGTATTTCTTTTCTAATAAGCAAACTGTAACTTCACATGCATACAAGCATACAGGGAATGTTTCAGCTTCAAAAGTCTGAATTATTGATCTAAGAGTCCCTAAAGTGATCAACTATGGAATTCCTAGGAAAAAACCTCATCAGCAACACAAAGTTAAGTAAAGCGCACATTAAAGAGTTTTAACAGATCACCTTAAAGCTTATTTCTGGCTGTGCGTTAATTTATTTTTCTGTGAAAAAAACAGACCTTAAAATAAAGTTCCAACATATTAACTCAATTCAGACTGCAATCTCTTCACACTTTAAATTGTCTTGCTGCAGTTGAAAAGTCATTCATGGCCTGACGAGCCTATGGCTCTTTAAGGTTTGCAAAGTGCTTTTAAAAAATCTCATTTGATTATTATCCCCATTTTACAGATAAGGAAACTGAGGCAAATAGAAATTAAGTGCCTTGACTGGGTCAGTTACATGCCTGCAACCAAATTTTGATCTCAGATCTTTCTGACACAAAGCCCAGTGCATAATTATGCCATCGCATATATATTAAAAATAGCATGACTGATAGTGACCGTCCCTAAATCTAAAACTGGGATGAACATCTTTACTACAGAATTTAGCAGTTCCAAGTACCACCTTCCTTAAGGATGACGATCTAAACTGACACAAACTAGTATTTAGTCTTCACACTGAAATCAGAGAAAACAAAATGTTTTGCTGTTCATTCGTTTTTCAGTCGTGTCCAACTCTTTGTGATCCCATTTGGGATTTTCTTGGCAAAGATACTAGAGTGGTTTGTCATTTCCTTTTCCAGCTCATTTTACAGATGAAGAAACTGAGGCAAACGGGGTTCAGTGACTTGCCGAGGATCATGCAGATAGTAAGTGTCTGAGGTCGCATTTGAACTTAGGTCTTCCTCATTCCAGGCCTGGTGTTTTATTTACTACACCACCTCTCTGTTCCAAAAACCTCTTATAGAAATCCCTTAAAATTTTAAATGAGATGAAAAACTAAGCAATAAAACCTTTTGAAAAACTGAGATTCCTACCAAGAAGAATTTTTAAATTTCCACTAGACCTTTCAACAATCAAAAAAATTTTCAAAATAAAAGCAGACAGAAGACTGAGCAATCCCATACACGAGTTCTTTCAGTATCCAATGATGTAGTTCATTGGACCAGGTGACAAACTCATCAAAAGCAACTTAAATGCTCTCTTACTCAGTTACCTTTGTACTATCTATTATATGCTTTTGTTCTGTCCTTTCCAGGCAAAGATCATTTGCCTTGGCAGAGAAAACAGAAGCAATATAAAAATTGAGTAGTTCTCCCTCTTCTCTATTATCTACTACCATCCCATTCACAGTAAGCAGCTGCTCTATCCTTTCTTAGAGGTTCTACAAGTCCCATACCTTCTGCAAGAAGCCTTTCCCAATCCTCTTAATGCTAAACCCTTCCCTTGGAGATTATCTAACTTGTTTGTACATTGCAGTTTCCAAGTTGTCTTCCCCATTAGACTATGAGTTCCTTCAGAAAAGAGACCATTTCTGCTTTTCTCTCTATCCCTTTGTGCTTAATTAGCACAGTGCCTGGCACTCAGTAGGTGCTTAATAAATGCTTCTTGACTTAACTCCTTTTCCCCAATATACCTTAAAAAAAAAAAAAAAACACCACTTTGCTGTCCCTTGCATACTAACCTCAACTCACTGAACTTTCTCTTTCCTGAAGCCAGCCTTACATTCAGTACCATGCTACGCCTTTCCAATCATTCTTTTACTTGAACCTGATACCATATCTTACATGTCTTTTTAAAAATTAACATTGGCTGTGGAGTACCTTGTGCATCCATATTAGCTTTTCCCCATTCTTCTTGCTCACTGAAACTATATTAGCTTTGTATAGAGACCTGACACTATATATTGCAGTCTGTTCAAAAGAATTTTTATTAGATGTGCAGCCTTCCTGAATGTAAAATCTTAGAACAAGGTCTATTACATCACAGGTATAACATACAAATAGCTACTAGATTAATATGGTGCCTATGAAGTTAAGACTCATGGACTTACTAACATTTATGCTTACATTTAAGCTATCTAAATTTACTATGATTCAACAAATATAATTGAAAAAAAAACTTACTTCATTATATATTTGGCTCTGTCTATCGTTTGAGCTTTAACTTTTACCAAAAGTGGGTGACTATTATAAGTTTCATTCTTCCACTGACCATACAGACGATACCTTAAAGAAGAGATAGAGGAAAAAGAAATGTTATATAAGTTTAGCCAATGCATAACAAATGTCTCATTTACATATTAAGCATGTCCCAAAACAAAAGTCTAAGTGCAGTTTTAAGCTTTAATAAATTTAGAAATATAAATGTGGCAAACTCACCAAAAAAATCATTTGAAAGTTTAATTATTTAAATTTATTTTATACTTAGTTCTGTGAATTCTGAATAATGAATTTTGACAAGATGGAACACCCTGTCATTATGCGTTGCATATTGAACAGTTTATAGATGACATTTTCTCAAACCAGTTGATCAACAGGAGGTCCTATTGTTTGGTCACTTGGTCACCTGATATATCTCCATTATACTCTTTCTTATCCCATCAAAAATGCATCAAAATCTCATTCTTTAAATGATCTTAAAGGTAGGATTACAAAAGCAATCTATTTGGTCACTGAGCTACAGCTGAGGCAAGTTTTCACTGAGTTCTAAAATCATCTGGAGTAACATAACAAAACACTGGTTATATTGAAGTTTATTGAAACACATTAATATTTTTAAAAATTAACTAACTTCAGTTTGCTTATAAGTTTGTAACATTTATAATATTAAAGGTACTATCACTTTAAACTTCACTAAGACTTCTGGGACACTATAAGAGGAACTGGTTCAAATTTTTAAGTATAAAAGCCAATCCCCAATAGATAAATGGTCAAAGGATATCAACAGACACTTCTCAAGGGAAGAAAATCAAGCCATCAACAGCCATGTGAAAAAAATCCTCCAAAATTACTAATAATTAGAGAAATGAAAATTAAAGGAACTCCAAAGGTTCTACCTCACACTCATTAGATCGCCAAAGAAGACCAAAAAAAGGAAATGACAAAGGTTGGAGGGGCTGCAGGAAAACTGTACTGTTGATAGGGTAGTGGATTAATTGATCAAGCCATTCTGGAAAGCAATTTGGACCTCAGACCAAAACATTACTTAATTGTGCATACCCTTTGACCAAGCAATATCACTGCTAGACTTACAGCCCAAAGAGATCCATATATACAAAAATAGCATTTTGGATGGCAAATCAGAAACTATAGGAATGTCCATCAATTGGGGAATGGCATAACAAACTATGGCATACGAATGTAATGAAATACTATTACAGTATAAAAAAGGGAAGACTTGTATGCCTAATACATAGTTAAGTAAGCGGAACCAAAAGAGTCACTTATACTCTAACACTACTGTAAAACCAAACAACTTTGAAAGACAGATCAATGTAACCATAATTTCAGAAGACCAATGACACCCACCCTCCTCAAAAAAAAACTAATGAATAAATGTGCATACTGAGACACATTTTTGGACATGACCAATGTGGGAATTTGTTTTGCTTCCAAACTTTGTTAGAAAGATTTTGTTTTTCTTCTTTTATTTTTAGTGGGGGCAAGGAGTGGGAAGGAGAGAAAATAAATGCTTGTTAAATACATTTTTAAAAAATAAATCCAATGCATCAATATTGACATGGTTCAAAATCAAAAAAAATGCCAATACTTACCTGTATTGATATGGAAATGATTTAAACATTCCCCATAGTTCTTCAGACATACAAGCATTGCAATCCATTAAAGAAAGAGAAGGAAGTAGCACCTGGTCAGTAATAGTCAGCAAGCAACTAAGCAAAGTTTCCTACCAAAAAAGGAAAGAAAAAGTATTCAAGAGATCAGCTGATGGCTATTTGCCTAAACTGTTCTACAGATCAGAAACACCTATAAAAATAAGCACGAAACACCCTAAATACATAACAAAGAATATATTGATATGAGAATATTATTAATGGCCAAGAGTTAGTATATTTCTCCAAATGCCAGACTTATCAAGAAGTTATCGATGATCTCTGGATCCTCAAATCTAAAGGCTCTTTCCTCAATCTTCATTTTTTCTTGACCTATCTGCTGTATTTGACACCACTGACTACTCTCTCCTCTCCGGACACTGCTCTCAGTTCTCCTGTCTGAACACTCTCAGTCTCCTCCTCTGCTGGTTCTGAAATCATGGTTACATTGATCAGAGTTCTATATCTCACCTTCCAATTGTAGTTGTACCCAAAGGCTCTATCCTGGGCCCTCTTCTCTTCTGTCTATACTCTCACTTAGTGATCTCAACTGCTCCCACAAGCTTATCATCTCAATAAAAATTACTCCTGGACCTGTATATCTAGCTCTACCTAATCTCTCTCTTAAGATCTAATCACATCTCCAAATGCCTATTAGAGATATTTCAAACTTGACATCTAGGAATTTCAAATTAAATCCATCCAAAGTAGAACTCATCTTTTACCCAAAAACCCATCTCCCTCTTTGAACTTCCCTATTCCCACCTAGGACACTATCATTCTACCCGTCATCCACATTTAAAACCTCAATGTCACTCAACTTCTCTCTCTCCCTCGTCCCACATGTTATATCAGTTGCCAAATCTTATTGTAGAATTAGAAATTGCTTTTCTCTCACACATCGGTCCCTGTCTCTCTAGTCACATAGCCACCAGCCTAGTTCAGGCTTTTGTCACTGTCTTTTCCTAGTTCCTCAACCTCCTCAAATCCCATTACCTACTGCTCTCCACAACAGCCACACACAGGAATGGCTATACCCTAGACTTCACTTGGCCAAGAGTTCCACTTCCATAATTGAAAAACTGGCTTTCTTCTACCTATCTCTTTCTATTCCTCACCCTTCTTTACTATCATGATTGCCAATTGCTCTAATCCTCAGTACTTTCTCAGTCCATTGTCCTCTGAAGGCACTTTCTTCCATTACTAATCTCAAATCTTTACTTAACCCGAAATCAATTCCACAAAGTCCTTTACTTTTTTTTTTTTTTTTGTTCTTTTTGGTGAGGCAAGCGGGGTTAAGTGAGTTGCCCAGGGTCACACGGCTAATAAGTGTCAAGTGTCTGAGGCTGGATTTGAACTCAGGTCCTCCTGACTCCAAGGCCAGAGCTCTATCCACTGTGCCACCTAGCTGTCCAGTCTTTTACTTTCAAATCCCTCACCCATTTCTACTGTCAATCATTCCTTGCCAAACCCCATCCCTATATTACTCTATCTACCATACTGTTCCTATTCAAGTGCTGCTGAACTAAGCTGGAAGAAGTCATGCAACCATGATGACTCATCTACTACAAATTTGTTATGCAATTTCAACTAGTTCCTCATAACAACAAAACAGTCCTATTAGTCCTCCCTAATTGATTCCCTATCATATTCCCCAAAGAAGCCTCTCCTCCTAATCTTTTTCTTCTCAAACTTCCCATACCTCCTCCTTCCTCTAAGTTGAAGACCTCATTCCTTATTTCATTGAGAAAATTGAAGCCATTTACTATAAGCTTCCTCTTCTTCCATCTTCATCTCAAAAACCCTTGACATCCCTCATTTTTTCTTCTACTCCAAATTCTGATGAAGATGTGGTCCTTCTCTTTGCCAAGGCCAACTTTTTACATGTGTTCTTGGCTCTGTCCCGTCATCTTCTCCAGCTGACTTCAATTATTCCCTCTCTCTCACCAATCTTCACTCTCTCCTTAATTGTCTAAAGACAACTTTTCAGTTGTCTACAAATATAACCACATTGCCTCCATTCTTAAAAAACTTTCAGTAGACCCTACCATCCCCTCCAGCCATCCTATGTATCTCCTCCCTTTATTTTTCCCTATGTAAATGAAACCCAGATCTACATATCCAATCTAGTCTTTCTCCTGAGTTTGAGCCCTGCATCACCAACTGCTTATTAGATATTTCAAAACAGATACCCCATAGACATCTCAAATTCAGTTGTCCCAAACAGAACTTATCATCTCTGCCTAAAAATCCAACCCTTTTCTGAATTTCTCTATTTCTATTTGGGATACTATTACTCTTCAAGGAAGTTAGATAATGCAGTCACTAGGCCTGAAGTCATGAAAACCTGAATTCAAATCCAGCCTCAGACATTTAGTAGCTGTGTGACCCTGGGCAAGTCACTTAATTCTGTTTACCTCTTCCTCATCTGTAAAATAAGCTAGAAAAGAAATTGGCAAACCACTCCAGTATCTTTGCCAAGAAAACCTCAAATGGGGTCAGGGAGAGTCGGATGCTACTGAAACGAATGAACAACATTCTTCAAGTAGATCAGTTTTTTAACCTCAACTCTCCATCCCCTCTCTCACCCTAACCTTTTAACAAAACTCATCTCAACATTTTTCAGATCTGCCACTTTCTCTCTACTTGCACAACCAACAATTTATCCAGGTCCTCATCACCTCTTACCAGTACTATGGCTTTCTAATCGGCCTCCTTTTCTTAGGACACAACTGTCCAAGTAATTTTCCTTGAACAGATCTGACTGCGTCACACTCTTACACAATAATAAACTCCCCTCTGTGGCTTTTAAAACCATTCACAACTTGGCTCTAACCTATCTTTCCAGCCTCATTATATATTGCTTCCTTCTTCCCCCCAACTCTAAGATCAAGCTAAACTGGCTTTTTCTCTGTGTTCTTCACACAAAGTATTCTATATCTCCCTTGTATGTGCTAAGAGTCCTCTACCTGTGGAATGCATTTCCTCCTCCCTTCCTCTTGTAATACATTATTTCCTTCAAGAGTGAACTAAAGCACCACCTTCTACACCAAGTCTATCCTAAATACCCCAGCAACTAGTGCCCTCCCTCCCCAAATTGCCCTGTACTGTATATACACTTATATAAGTGTATATATAAGCTCCTTGAGGATCATTTCATTTTTATCTATCCATCCCCAGTGCCTAGCATATAGTCAATGCTTATTGTTTGACTATAAAAGAATGTGTGGAATAAGGTAGAATATAAGATACTGTGAATTACACTTTACTGCAAAATGAATAAAGAAAAAAATATCCAACTCAAAAAGTTAAGAAATTCAAAATATTTATAATCAATCTACTTCTGGGGAAAAATGTTAATAGTATAAAAGGGGGGAAAAATCAGCTGAATGTAGAGCAATAACCAACAATGATATTCTTTACCCACTCAGGATTAAGTATATAAATGCAGGTTCTTTGATTTAAAGTTTAACCAATCTAAGATGATTACTAAAGAAACTATGTATTAAGTTGAATTGCCCATTGTCTCTACTAGTATTCCAAAGGCTAAGTGCAGCTAGAAAATAGAAACAATCTTGATAACTGGCAATAATCATTTTACTTTATATTTCAGACATCTTAATGTAAGAAAAGCCAAATCCCATGTAGAGAAACTTGATTATACCAGCTTATTCCAATTTAGAGAAACCTGATACAGAAAAATACTGGCTTAGACAAAACCAAAGTTAAAAGGAGATTCATCTTCTTTACAAAATGATTCTTTCCTTCAAAAAGACAATCTTATTTAACTGCTCAAAATGTGTTTAAACATGCTTCTTTACTCTGAACAGTTACAAAAAAGTTTGCAGGACAAAGCTTAAGGAGAGAGCAGAGGTTAATAATTAACTTCCATATCGAAAGGGCTAGGGACAAGTGATGCCAGTTATAGAAATCCTTAAATAATCTAAGCCTCAAAAAGAGGTGTTAGGGTTATGAATTGAAACCTAGAGAGTTGATGCTATTAGTAATTCCAATGCAAATTCTCCCATGGCAATAAGGTAAAGGAATAAGGAAGCAAGAGAACAGGACATTATATTGCTTTGAATTTGAGTTACATACAGTTAGATCCCAGATACAGGCAACTAGGTGGCACAGATGATAGAGTGCCAGGCCTGGAGTCAGGAAGACTCATATTTCTGAGTTGATATCTGGCCTCGGGACACTTGCTACCTGTGTGTTACTTAACCCTGTTTGCCTCAGTTTTCTCATCTGGAAAATGAGATGGAGAAGGAAATGGCAAATCACTCCACTATGTTGGCCAAGAAAATCCCAAATAAGGTCAAGAAGAGTTGGACTGAACAACAACAATCAATAGATCCCAGAAACAAAGAACACGCGGAAAGTTACAGTCTTGGTCCACCAACACCAGTACTAAGTAAGGAAAGCCAAGTACATAGTTAATGGAAAGAAAGCTCATGACCTAAAAGATATGGCCAAAAGTACCTGTATGCTTACTTGAAACTGCCTAATACATTTTGTTCAATTAAATGCTCTTATTTTGAACAGAGTTCTTTTAAACATTTATTCCAAAAGATATTGTTCTAATCTTTCTTGGGAATTAGTTTTCTAAGTTATATAATTATGTTTTGGTAATAAGGAGTTATTTTCTTTAAAGAAAAAAATTAACTTTACTGTCTACTTGTCCTCTGCTTGGAGATACGTGCAGGACAGGTTATGCCTATCAAAGCTGCAAGGATGCCACCTAGGGATAACTTACTCAAATTTCAGACTTCTCATTCTTGAATCCCCCCAAAAATTAAAGAAGTGATACAATAGAAATTCATTATGTGTCATTCAAATAAAAAACTGCTGCCAATGAATTTTAAATTATCTCACACACAGCTTTTCAGAAATGATTATGTAAAACAAGATACACTTATCTAAAAATACATGTAACAGACTAGGGAGATCATATCTGAGATTTATAATCTCCACCTGTAACCCTTTGTCCACAGTACCCTCCTTTCTTTTATAGAGCATCCCTTCATCTCCCTCTCTTATCCACTCAATTGTCCAATTATTTTTCCCCATTCTCCCACCCATCTTACATGAAGTATAGCTTTTTTAAAAAGAAATGATGCTTTATAATTCTGTCCTTCTCAATCTCACAGAATATGAGCAGGTTAATCTAAAAAAACCCCAGTTTGTAGGCACTTCCAAAAACAATATCTGGTAAGTAGTTGATGTTACAATATTATAAAGCATTTTCCCACATATGGCTACAACCGGCTCACAATAAAAATTGTCTGCATACTGCTGTGCCTAGCCAAAATGTTAGATGTCATTATGTTTTCCTAGACTCTTACCATTCTGTCTTTTTCTTCTGGTTTGTTTCCATCAGCCTGAAACTAAAAACACATACAAAAAGTTAAAACTAAGTTTAAATTATTTTCTATTAACTATGTCATTATTAGTTCTTCTTATAAACAGTATATTAAGCTACCCAATGCCCTGAAATATTTGCTTTTTTCAATCTTTACATATATACCCAAAGGAATTTAAAGACCCAGTTAAATTAGTACAATTAAGAAATTCTTTGAATTAGAAATTCCTAAATGAGAAATAATAAAGGCAATATTAACGATTCCTCCCAGGAAGCAATGAAATTAGGTTAGATATCTCATCCTTCTACTTGTTATTTGCCTTATCTGCATATCCTTGTATTAATATTCTACTTCAAATACCCCATTTTAAAAACAAAAACATTTCAAACTTCACATTTATAAACTTCACCATACTTAAACTATCAAAATCAAAGGAAAAGTTTGAGCCAGCACAATAATTCAGTGGCAAAATAACCAAAGCTGGCTTCCATGCTATTTTGTTCAAAAAAAAAAAGGAAAAAGAAAAGATGAAAGGGAAAGAGAGCAGTGTTACATATGATAATTACATTAATACTGAATGATAGAAACCAAATCTGAGGAAATTGTGTACAATTAACTACGAGAATCCTAAATGGAAAAAAAAAATGGATGGAAAAAGCTAGAAAGAAAATAAGTGCCCATTGAAAAGGAATGGCTAAACAAAATTGTGATCTATGCCATGGAATATTATTGTACCATAAGAAAACATAGTCAAACTACCTGGAAACCAAAGGGCCCAGAGAACAGATAATGAAACATAATACACCTCCCTCGTAACAGGGTAATGGAGAGCTACTAGTACAGAATATTATCTACATCATAAGATGTGATCACCATATTAGATATTTGTTTCCCCCCCCCCCCACAGGGTAGGGAGTTCAATGGAGAAAAAAGGATGTCTTTGAAGGGCAAAAAAGAAAAAAAAATCATCAATTACATGTTTTTCCCACCTCCATTCAGATGAAGATATCCAACAGTAGGGAAAGGATTTCATAATAAAGATGGGTAGCAGGGTATGGGGGCTGCAAGGCAGAAATTTAATGACTATACATCAGATGAGGGAATTTCAGAGTCCATAAAAAATGGAGCATTTGTGGATGATGGCAAGAAGTAATGTAATTCCCCCACCTCAACTCGTGAGTAGGAGGAATGAGTGAACTGAGACGACAAGAAGAACAGGAAAGGAAAAAATTTCAATTGTCTTATGGAACAGGCAATTAAGAAAACACAGTGGAAACAATGAATAGTTTTAGAGTGGTACACTGGGAATGGTGTTTGGTTGAGGGGAATGAGCATAAGGGATCAGGGTATAGTTTTCAGAAATAGTTAAATTTTTTGGTCTCAGGAAGAAATTATTGAGGACCCTCTCTCCAAATAGTTTTGCTTATGTTGATTATATTTTATCAATATTTACCTATCAGAAATTAAAATATCTTAGTATTATTATGAAAATAGTTTTGACCTCTCAAACTCCCTGAAAGGTAAGAAACCCCCAAATCACATTTTGATGAGAACTGCTACTCTAAATCTTTTGGCAATAATGAAAAACTATGTTTTAACCCCAAAATGTGCAAAACAAATAATACACAAATTTCTTAGTTTAGGTTTTTGTAGCTTTATTTACTCTATTCTCTTAAAACAAGATCAACCCAGAACAGCATTTTAGCCAATAAAATAACACAGGATCATGTATTTTGACCAACTTTATCTAACTTAAGGGTTCATTTTTGGAGTTAAGATATGTTGCTAATTTCCAAATTATGGCATTAATATTAGATGTACTAAGAGTGGCCAGGAACTGTTTTAGCACTTGCTATGTACAGAACAAAATCGTATTTGCCATCACATTTCTGTGAAGCATATTTTAAGGCACGGTGACAAGCCAAATATAAAGTAGAATTTGGAGCTCTCCTATCACACTAAAAACATGATGTGATATAGCTCTAAGAACAGCACAGGCCAGTCATGCTTCATTCTCCTCCCAGATGTGCTTCTGACTCTAAAGACTTAAAAAAATTATTCAGGTGCCTTCTCACCCTGGAACTTCCCTCCAAGACTGGAGTCTTGTTACCCTGGAATACTCCTTCAAGGCACAGTTCAAACACCACCTTCTGCATGAAGCTTTTCTTGATGCCCCCAACTGCTAATGCCTGGACTATCATATCACTTGTATTTAAACTGTAGATAATTACATGTTTAACTGCCTCCCCCAATAGAATGTAAGCTCCTTTCAAGTAAAGATTATTTCATTCTCTGTCCTTGTACCCCAAGCATCTGGCATAGTGCCTAGAATTTAATAGGTGTTTAATTCAACGTTTGTTAAATGACTGATTGATATCTAAGCTGAGTCCCATAAGACATCACTTGCAAACTCAAAGTAGAAACCAAGCTGGAAAACAGGAGTTAAACATCATTCTATGAATTAGATAGGCAATTAATGGAACAGAAAAAATTTAACTGGCTACATAGGGAAGATCATTTCTACTAAAGCAAACCATAGCATTTTCAAAACACAAGGAGTAAAGTTGTGAGAAGTTATAACTGAGACCAACCTTGGTCTCCTGACTCCTACCACAATGCTTATTCAACAACAAAACCTTCACTTTAGAGCAAAAATTCTTCATCTGAGGTCCTTGGACATCCACTGATAGATTTCCAGGGTGGAAGGGTGTTCAAGAGAAATTGGATGGCAGAAAAATTACTTCTTTATTTCAATATAATGTTTCCTTCCTAATCCTATATGTTTTGCTTTATACATGTTATAAAAAACAAAAAACAAAAAACATTTTTCTGAGGAGTCCAAAAACTTCACTAAACTATCAAAGGGGTGCAGGACACAAAAAAAAAGGTTAAGAACCTCTTCTTTAGAGGCAGGCACTTTGCTCTCAAAGAGTCTAATCTAAGTACCAAAAACACTGTGTTGACATTATATATATATCTACCAAAAAAAAAAAAAAAACTTACCAAGAGAATATAGGAACCAGATCATTATTTTCTACAATTCATTTTTAACTCAGACTAATACACCAGTAAAAATACTCACTGAATAAAATGAGTCACCCATCAGTTATTTAGTAAATTGGATACCATATGGGTTTATCAAGCCAACTGCCAACTAATAGCCAGGCTCATCTGATCGTGCTCAATTTGTTTTAAAACATGTATGATTACATTTTTCTATAAAACATTCTTCAGATCAGGATCAAACTATTAAAATTAAAGATAATTGCTTCTTTACTGTTTGACCCAGCAATAGCACTTCTAGGGCTATATCCCAAAGAGATCATATAAATGGGAAAAGGACCCACGTGTACAAAAATATTTATAGCAGAGCAGCTCTTTTTGTGGTGACAAAGAATTGGAAATTAATTGAGAGGATGCCCATCAATTGGGGAATGGCTGAACAAGTTGTGGTATATGAATGTAATGGAATACTATCGTGCTATAAGAAATGATGAACAGGTTGACTTCAGAAAAACCTGGAAAGACTTGTATGGTCTGATGCTGAGTGAAATAAGCAGAACCAAGAGAACGTTGTACACAGAAACAGCCACGTTGTACAATGACTAACATTGATAAACTTAACCCTTCCCAGCAATACAAGGATCTAGGAAATCTCCAAAGGCCTTGTGATGGAAAATGCTATCCACATTCAAAAAAAGAACTATGGAGTTTGAATGCAGATCAAAGCATACTGTTTACTATTTTTTTCTCTTATGTTGAGTTTTGTTTCCTCTTTCTGATGGTTCCTCCTATTGGTTCTAATTCTTACTTACAATATCACTGATGTGAAAATATGTTTAATAGGAATGTATATGTACAGCCCATATCAGATTGTGTGCCATCTTGGGGAGGGTAGTGGGGAGACAGGGGGAGAAAAATTTTAAACTCAAAAGCACATGGAAGTGATTGTTGATCAATCAAAATAAATTAATTTTAAAAAATTTTTTTAAATAATAAAAAATAATTGCTTCTTTAAAAAAAACCTTATTCAAAACCTTCGCAGCTTTAATTAAGCATAATTTAATTAATGTCTAATTATTTACATATAATTACATACTATGATTTAATATTATTTTAAATAATACATGCTTCAAAAAACAAAAAATTAATCTCTTCAGAATAATCAAACAGGCAAATTAGATAATCAGAAAAATGAGCAGCAGGATATAGTAGCAGAAGCAAAGGTTCTATCTAGGGTCAGAGGATACAAGTTCAAACCTGCCTCTAACACTTAACTGCCACGCAAACTTGTACAAGTCACTTAAATTCCTTGGGTCTCAATTTTCTTATCTGTGAAAGGAGGGATAGGGATTAAACTAAATACTCTGACGTGCCTTCAGTTCTATCAATCAATAAGCATTTATTAAGTTAACTATTATGTGCCAAGAACCACACATGCTAGGGGATACCAATAAAGAATGAAACAGGCCCATAAGGAATGTGCATTCTAAATCTATGATCTTAAGAGGACATGAGACAGCTTTCTAGATTATACTTTTAAACCAAATATAAACTGACAGCGCTTCTCAGTTATTTACAACATTATACAACATCGGATAAATACTGCTGTAGTTAACTCCCTTTTTATGAAAAAGTTGGACAGGACGGGGGAATAGAAAGAAATATTAACTAGTATTCAAATGTAAATGAAGACAAAACTATTATATACAAATTGTATATATACAAAACTGTAATATCTGTATCATTATTATTATTGTTGTTGTACTTCTAATTTTATAACCATTTTTTCTGAGACTGATTTGTTGAATTAAATTATTCATTAAAAGAAAATGAATAGGGGCAGCTAGGTGGCACAGTAGATAGAGCACTGGCCCTGGAGTCAGGAGGACCTGAGTTCAAATACGGATTCAGACACTTGACACTTTCTAGCTGTGTGACCCTGGGCAAGTCACTTAACCCCATTGCCTAGCACCCCCCCCCCCCAATCTTTCTTTTATAAAATAAAAGAATCACCCCAATTCTTCTCTGTAAATCCAGGTTTTTATAGATAACACACACATGTTTAAGGGACTAAAAGCTACAAACCTATCTTTAATTGTTTTCAAGATGTTCTGGGCCCTTATCTCAGAAAAAATACACATTTTGTCCTAAAATGATAGAACTGGGGAATTTTTAAACTATTAGGGGCTAGATACTAAATGCATTTTTTTTCCAATAAAAAGGCAAAAATAGACAATAAGAATTTTTTAAAAGACAACATTAAAACCCCTTAATAAATCTGCTCACAACTTTTCTGATACCCAAATCCCATTACACACTACCAAACAAAATGAACTTATACAACTACTGAAGTATTTCATTTACATTCATTTCAAATTAACATTTATCAAATGCCTACTTTTGTATAGTATATTCTGCTGGGGATACCAGAGATGATGAAAAATTACTCAGTCCATGCTCTGAAGAGTTTCTATTAGGGAAAATAAGATATACACAATACTACTAATTAGAATGTAATAAGAATATAAAATTGGGAGAAGAATTCATGGAATGGTACCTGAGCTGGTTCATGAAGGTCGATTTTAACAGACCAAAACATGGGTAATGGCTTTTAATTCAGTTTTGCAGAGATGTACAGTAAACAGAAAACTATGAAATAAAGCCAGAAAGTAGATTTAGGATCTGTGTTCAAGTATCAGCTCTGGAGGCAGCTAAGTGGCACAGTGGATAGAGCACTGGCCCTGAAGTCAGGAAGACCTGAGTTCAAAACCGGCCTCAGACACATAACACTTACTAGCTGTGTGACTCTGGGCAATTCACTTAACCCCAACTGTCTCACCAAAAAAAAAAAGTGCTTCAAATACCAGCTCTATTGGGGCAATCACTTCCCTTGTTTTCTACTCTATAAAATGAAAGGATTGGCCTCTAAGGTGTCTTCCAGTTCTAAGTGTGTGATTCTATGTTGAAGTGAGATAGTGGAAGGCATTGAATATTAGACTACATGGTTGTTATTTTATTCCCTAGGAAATAGGAAGCCACTGAAGATCTTAATATGGGAATGACATAATTAGACCTATTCATTAGAAAGTTTACTCTCCAATGGTGACGAATGAATTGGAAAAAGAAGACAAAAGTCAAAGAGAGACTGGAAAGTCAAAGGTGGTAAGGGCCTGGATTAAAGTGGTAACAGAAGCAAGAGACAGGTGGGACAGGTACAAAACATTCTGTAACAGAAGGAAGATGACTCCAAATACCTGAGCAATTGGGAAGATGGTCAAAAAATCATCAGCACAAAAGGAAGATTAAGGTGAAAGGCAAATTTGGAGGGAATCGTTGATACTTTAACGTTACTGGGGGACATCCACACAGAAATATCTAATAGGCAGTTAGCAATTTTGGACTGGAATGCAAAGAAGGGCAGACTAGAGATACTAATTTATCTGTATAGAGGCAATATGTAAAATTAGAGGATTGAAAGGAATCACTAAGGGATGGAAACAGAAAAATCTGAAAAAATCAAGAAGAGAGCATAGGGGATGGGTAAAACCTTAAGGAAAAAAGGAAAAGGTATAACTGAAGTTCACAAAGGAAGAGTTATGAGGAATACATTACTGCAGAAGCCAAGAAGTGAGAATATCAAATCAAGTAATTAACCATGTCAAATAGAACATAGTTTGAAGAGGATAAAGACTGAGAAAATCAGTGGATTTAGTGACTGATACTATGGTTACCAGGGGCCTTTAAAGGCATAATTTCATTAAAGTGGTGGGGGGGAGGGACAAGTCATATTTCAAAGGAATGAGAAAGGAGTGGTAGTTTTTTGTTTTTTTTGGTTTTTTTTTTAATGGAGGAAAAGGAAAAGAATAAGACTACCCTTTCTAGAAGTCTGGTGGTAGAAGAGAAAGAAGACATAGAATGTTAGTTTTAGAAAGGACAGGTCTAACAGAGTAAAGTTCATTTTTTTAAGACTAGGGTAAACCTAAACATGTTTATAAGCAAATAGGAAGGAACAGAACAGGAAAAAAATGGGAAAGTACAAAAGGGGATAGAAATCAAGGCGCAAATTAAGTGGTCTTAGAAGGAAGAAGGGTAATCACATCCTCTGAGTCTAAATCAAAAGGAGAGTAAAAGACAAGAAACTTTTGAAGTATTGCAGAAGAACGGAGGAAACTCATGACAGACATCTTCATTCTATTCAGTAAAGTCAGGTAAGGTCATCTGCTGGGTGGACTAGCTTCATACAATGCTTTAGAACCTGTTGGCATAACAGTGAAGTCTATATTCCTGGAATAATAGGTATTAATCTTCAAGATAATTCATCCTAAAAAATTTCTTGATAGAGAATAAATAATTACTAGCTACTAAAGAATTAGAAACATAGTCAAATCAAGAAATATAACACCAAGAGCCAGTCCCCAAAAGACAAATAGTTCAAAGGACAAGAACAATTTTCAAAAAACTGCAAGCCAGAACTGACCATGTGAAAGAATGCTCCATATTAATACAAGATTTACAAATTAAAATAATTCTGAAGTTTTATCTCATACCCTGAAAAATAAGAAAGAAAACAAAAAAAAACAGCAACAGCCAACACTGGAAAGGCTATAGACAAACAGGCACACTACTGGTTAAACCGTCTGTATCGTTTCATCCAGTAACCCATTGCCCCCAATGGAAACAAAGGTCCGGCACAGACCAACATTCACAGCACCACTGTTTGCGGTAGCAAAGAACTAGATAAAAAATGGGTGACCATGGATATTCGGAGGGGCATGGGTACAAAAAGGTAACAGAATGTTAATTGTGTAGTAAGAAATAACAAACGAGAAATTAAGAGAATACAGAATGAAATAAGCAGAATAATGATACACATACACTACATGCAAAAATGAAAAATTCAATCACCCAGTACTTGAATGAGCAAGGAAGGTTTCAGAAAAGAGATAATGAAACACTTCTCCTTCCTTATTGCAGAGGCAGAGGACTATAAGGGCTGAATGTTGTATATATTGCCAGACGAGGTCACTGAATGGAACGTTTGAGTTTCACTCTTTCTTTGTCACAAAGGAGAGTTCAATCTGGGGGTGGTTTTTCTGCCCAGAAATGACTAGTATCAAGAAAAAAAGCCATCAATAAAACTTTTCAAGTCCAATTGCACCAAAATTGAAGAGGCTAAAAAGTTACATAAGAAAATTCTCTGGAGGAGAAAATGAGGCTGGTGACCTTGCACAGCCCTCCCTCACTTAAATCAAAGTCAATTGCAAGTCATGCCATCATCTCCCTGATGTCATGGTCCTCCTCGAGAACAAAGGACAGACACACAACAACAACAACGCAAACATTTATGTCATGATACAACTTTCACTGGAGTTAAATAGGTAAAAAGTTAATCACTGACCACATAAAACTTAACTACCTTAACTGTTAAATCTCTGTATGATTCTACAAAAAAATACATCGTCTACCTTAAAAAACAATTCACCTCAGGACTGAGGTTTGATACAAAAAAAAAAAAGAATATCAGAGCTGAAAGGACCCTTAAAGATCATCCAGTCCAGACCATGTACTATAAATGAGAAAACTTATCCTAAAGAGGGAAAATTCCTTTATTCCCACATAACTATAGGAAAAGTGAGTAGAGAATCCAATTCTATATTTACTGCTTTTTCTACTTACATCATAACATATCTAAACTAAGAAGTCTAGTACCACAGCCTTTCCAAATTAGAGATCACACATTTAATCTCGGAGAAATAAAAAGGGGAGCATCCTATCAAAGTCTGGACAAAGCCATCAGCAGTGTCTGAGACAGTTCATCAACAGTCCAGGTATCAAGGGGACTCAAGAGTGAACACCAGGGTTGAGAGGACAGCAACAGCCCTGGTCCATGGACATCCATGGACAGATGGGCAAGTAGTGAACATATGGCAAATTATAACCCCAAAACATTCTATTCCAGAAGCATGTAAATCAGTTTAGAACTCAGAATATTTTTCCATAGAAACATTATAAATGGTAGGTAATATACAGTAAGTAGCTGAAAAAGTATAATAGTTTATATTATAATACAAAATTTCACCTTTGAACAGTGAAAACAGACTCTCATCACTACAGTGCCTTGGCAGCAGTCTCCATCTCATTTTATCATGTTATAGGAACAAAAGCTTTTCATTTCTCTGGCCTTCTTTTATTGAATGACTAAGATGCTCTTTTCCCTGCTTAGGATAAACTCAGAAAAAAAATTAAGTGAAAGAAAATCATGGAGAATAAGGATGACCCTAAGAGTTACCACAAATTAAAAGAAAATTACTAGTCCAAAGTATGGTTTCTTGGTGTAGCATTTTCCCCAGAGAGGGTTTATGTAAGACCTGGCTTACCTATTAGCTTGAGGCTACTTTAGACTTTATTTCACCAAAGACAGGGATTTTTAAAAATTAGATTAAGTTATACTCTTTTTTCAAAGCTAGAAAGACACTTCCATATACACTCCAAGAACAGAAAATTTTCACATAAGAAATGTTTTTCTTAGAAGAGAAATCTTACTAACCTCTTTCATAAATGCTTTCCCTAAGCGCACCACTTTTGCAAACAAAATGGGATCATGAGAAAGGTGAGGACCAAGATGACAGAGCATATTGAATACTTCTTTTCTCATATCTTCAAAACTGTCTGCTTGTTTTGGCGCTCGCTTGTTTTGTAACAGAGCAACAAACGATCCTTTAGCACCTTTAGGTACTCCAACTCTATAAAAATAAAAAAAAACAAAACAATTTTTATACCATAGGTGATACCTACATCATTTTAAAATTTCTAATTCACATTTACTTTACATCATTAAGTTACTCTATATCTTCTATATTATATATCCTCATAATTTTGTTTTGTTAGACTAGTCCAAAGATCTACATACAGTGCAAAAAATAGGACAAGTATCAAGAAAAATAAGGGATAGCCTTCAATAGCACAGAAAACTGAAACAGAAAGAGCAGATACAACTAAGTGTCAACACTTTTCAATCCAGGTGCTTTCTATATTAATTATTGGGGAGACACAGGGAAAGGGGGTCAAATTTCACATATAACTTGTGGCAGAACTATAAGCCCAAAATTTTCTCCTGTTGGGCATCTGGACTGCCGCAGGGTCACAGAAGACACCATCCATGGAGATTTCCTAGAAGCCTATGGGGCAATGGAGATAACAGCCAATATCTTTAAGGGATTCAAAAGCTGGGGTTGCTAACACAGACTCTGAGGCTACTGCTCCTAAGCAGTCCCACAAAACTGGAGTACTCCTAGGACTGTCAAAATAACTGGGGAAGGGCAGAGGTTGAGATGGCAATGGTGAAAACAGCAGCCTGCACATCATAGAGTGAGAATTTCAAGCACAGCCACTTAACATGAGATGGAGGTAGATCCCACTAGACACAGACCTTAGTGAGCAGAAAACAGAGGAACATGGAAGGAAAAGTAAAAGAAACAAGTTCCCACACTCCTCAAAGACCTAGGGTTCAGGTATCACTATGACTTAAATTTTTTGGCATATACACGCACTAACCCTGGTTTAGATGAGAGGAGAGCATTTGATCACTAGTTAATAATTTTTCTTAAAATTATACACTATGGGTTTGTGTGTCCTTTTAGGGTACCACACACACGCTTCTTGCAAGAACTGTAAATAAATGCTTCCTTCACTTAAAAAAAAAAAAAAGCCCTTCTCAGCAATGCAAGGATTTAAGACATCTCCAAAGGTCTCATGATGGAAAATGCTATCCACATCCAAAGAAACTATGGAATTTGAATGCAGATCGAAGCATTTCTCTTGCTCTTTTTTTTCCTTCTGTTTTGTTTCTTCTTTCTTGTGGTTCCTCCTATTGGCTCTAATTCTTCCTTACAACATCTCTAATGTGAAAATGTTTAATAGGAATGTATATGTATAGCCTCTATCAGATTGCACGCCATCTTAGGGAGGGAGGTGGGGAAGGAAGGGGAGAAAAATTTAAAACTCAAAAGCTTATGGAAGTGATTGCTGATAAATCAAAATAAAAAAAAATATTACACATTATGCATGTTTTATTTCATCAGAGGTTAACAAAATGTACAATTTGACAAAACATAAATAATGTATTTCACTATCTTAACGGATTTCTCTAATGCTTAGTAAAATACAGAACATACCTTCGGTAGAGGGGGTCAACAGTTACATGGATAAGCTGGCAAAGAGCAATGGCTATTGGCCTATGTGAAGAAGCATAGAATGGGGGCATCTGATCCATAATGCTCTGTGCATGTTGCCAATCACTAATCTTTAACAGAGCTTCCAATAAACCAAGTTTCTGGTTGTCAGGTGGCTAAAAAACAAACACACAGACAAAAAAAAAAAAGATTTTTTTCTATGAAAATCATTAACCATTTTCATGCATGGAACATAAGCTAGCTTTTTTAAAAAGAGAAACTGTAATTGATTTAAAAAGATTAAAAAGAAAACTGATTTTAAAAAGGTATTTTAATAAAAGTATCATTAAGGTTTCAGGCTATTAAAAAAAAATGGCAAAAACAGTACCAGGAATTTAATATGGTAATTATGTTGATACTAAAGCCTTCATTAGTCTATAATTAGGATTACATATTCTTGATTAAATAATTAAGCCACAAAATATGATCTGTACAGTTCCTCAAAAAGATAATATGTTAAACAGCCAATCACAATTCTCAGGGAAATAATGTTCTTATGAAATGAATTGGTTACCTAAGTATCTTTTTGGTTAAAAACCTAATTTGCATACTTTCCTGCCTTCAGGATATGAATCTTTTTGATAATTGAGGATTCTGCATTATCTCCAGGTCAATATTCTGATATTTACTACCATTGTACTTTATTAAAGAAAATTGGTTACAAGGTTCAGCCCAATCTTGAAGTTTCGTTGTTTTTTTAAATAAATCCCCAATATCAGGCTTTTTTAATTGTGATTTGCCTCAATCTTATAAAAGTAGGTTGCCAAAAAAAAAAATTCTGGTTAGTTTAATTTACATTTAAATGGAGATTTTACTATATAACAATCCTCCTACATTCCTTATTATCTGTGGAAGATGAAATGTTTTCTTCATCTGACTTTAAAATAACTTGTAGACTTGAATTAAACCAATTTAGCACCACTTATCTTAGTTCACATCTGCCACAAATATCTAAAACCCATGAGTTTCATTTAAAGGTCCTTTGATAAATACTACTTTTTAAGCTTCCTAGGGGAAAAATAAATGTGATCAGCCTTTCTGGAAAGCTGCCCAACAGATTTAAAAGCTAGTCAATTTTAGTGGTTAGCAAAATCCCCAAAAATACAGGGTTTCATTGGCGGTAAGAATGCTTATGAACTTATATGCCCATAAATTGATTCCATTCACAAGGATTCTTCTTCTTGGTTTAGAAATAAAGTGCAGTGTTCAATTCTACTAGTATATTTTAAGTACCTTATCTGTTTTCTCGTCCTCTTTTTCCTTTTCTTTGTCTCTCTCATCCATCTTTTCAGAGGACAAGACAACCATGGTAAGTTTTCTAACAATTTGCTTGGCTTCCACAATTTCTTGTTTGTGCTCATCAAGAATAGTATTATCCACTGGAAGAAGCTATACAAATAAGAGTTAAAATTATGTAAAAGGGATAATCCTAACTACCTGCCCATTTCAACAAAAAGCAAGAAATGAATTCTCAAGAACTTCCAAAATTTTCTCCAAAAGCCCAAGAGGCAGCATAGTGTAGTGGTAAGAATGCTGGTCTTGGAATCCAGGAGAGAATTGGGTTCAAATCCTACGTCCAACACTTACTAGCTATGTAAGCCTGAGCAAGTTACTTGATCTAAGTATCAGTTTCCTTATCTATAAAATGGGAATAGAGTAAAGCAGTGTAAAGAGACAGAGTAAAGAGCAAAGGAATCACAATCATAATACCTGAGCTCAAAAACTAACTCTGCTATTTACCAGGCATGACACCATAGGCAAATCACTTAACCCCACTAATTTTCTCCTTTATAAAATGAGAAAATTTAACTAGATGACCTCTAAGGACCCTACTAGCTTTAAATCTATGATTGTAGGACTTCATGAAGACTATATGATGCATTCAAAATTAGATGTTCTACCTATACTTATACCCACAGTTTTCCATTTCCCTCCTAATAGGTTTTCTTATTGATGCTCCTTTATTGCTTCTAAAGGATTATAGTGACTTATTTTGGACTAATTTAAAAGGATTTAATAATTCTGAGTTTTAAATGGCTTATCTGTCAGTTTAAAGGATTCTAAAATAAGCTTTTGTCTTGAACATTAAGAACATGAAAAAAATGGAAAAATTGCTTTATTAATGACAGAGACAGCAAAGTTGAGAGGTAAAGGCTACTTGGGGGCAGTGAATATTAGTTTTGTTTTAGACATGCTGAGTTTCAAGTGATAGGACACATAAAAATTATCATAATCCAAAGCCCAACAAAATTTACTCATAAATCCTACTTTGCTAGGGGAAATTCCTAAACCATGAGCCTCCCAAAGCAACCATTCCCTAGTTTAAACCACATATTTAGTATTTATATTAATTAAGAGGGGCTATAATGATGCAGCTCCCATTCCAACTGAGTGCCTAAAAATATTATCATAGTGGGAAGGAAAAGAATATTTCCAAGTGACAAAAGGCAGCCTTAGTCTGAGAACAATTTATGTGTCTCTAGCTTAGATGTACTGTATTATTGAGTTTAGTCATCTTTGCACACACTCTAACTTGTAAATACAAAGTAATAACTTACGAGGACTAACATGTCACATGCTACCAAGTACTATGCTTCTCTCCTTTGTCCCTCAACAATTTTAGTCAGTGCTACATGGGTCCCTCTTCCTACCTCCCAACTGTATAATGGGCAGACAATACTCTTTTCTTTTAGGTCTAAATAACTTACATGAACATAAAGATCGTCTAAATCAATAAGATCATACTGGAGAAGTATTGCAGCAACTCTATATAAAGATGCTGGCGTCTCTCCATTTGGTTCCTAAAAAAAATTAATAAATGCCATTTAACAAAAGAACCACTAAAAAAAAAAAATCAAATAAATTATAATCTTTCTCCTACCTATACCATGATCTAGTAGAAAGAACAGAGAACCTGAGGATGCCTAAATTAAAAACTTACTTTACAAAACTTCAAGTACCATACCAAGTCAGCTACTATTAGTACGCTATAACCATCAATGAGAATAAATTAGACCAAAAAGTCTAGCTCAAGGGTAGATTAAGGAACTGGCATTTTTTAAGGGGATACTTATTAATACAAATATACACTACATATCTAAATGGTAAAATTCCAATAAAAATTAAAGATAACACTGAGGTAGTATGGGAAAAAATAATAGTGCTGTAGGATTTTGGTGCCCTTGATTATGTTACATAAAATACTACAGCACTATTATCTTCCTATCTCCATATCCAAAAGGTCCTGGAATCTATCTTACTCTAAAATGTTTGTATGTCTCTTCTCTTGAGAAAATCAGAGAAGAGAGTAGATTCCCCCGATTGCTAGCAAGAGAAACAACTATTTTTCTTCTCTGATTTGTCTCCCCTCTCTCCAAAGAATTAATACTGGTCTTCCCTTCCCATATTCCCAATCTTTCCTAACTAATATCTACCTTCTCTCAGATTTGGCATTTTTTTTTGGGGGGGGGAATAGAGGGGGAAATGAAACAAATGAATCCACCCCCTCTCCTGCCTTCTAGAGGCCCCCAAGGGAATAATGATTTTTTTTTCACTAAGGTAAAATAACCATCAGTCCATTGGGTCCTCCAGCTGCTAATTAAAGATTTTTCCTACCATGATTAGAGGCAAAAAGAATAAAATCAACAGTATGATAAAACAGGGCTTATAAAACTCAATATCAATCAATGCCATTTAATCAAAAGAAAATTTAAATCTAAGATTAACACACACACACACAAAATCAGTGATATTTTAAGATATACATATAAGTAATACCTGATAAAACTTGAATTTGAACCCTAGAATATGACATAGTGTTTGAGGTTCACACATACACATATAGGATTCTATTAAAGGTACAAAAAATTCATCATATTCTGGTCTGCATTCATAGACTTCTAAAATGACATCCAGAACTCTGTTCGGGTCCAGATTAAAGCATCCTGTAACAGATAATAATAAGGTCAACTACTCATAATTAAATGTATATCATTTCTTATAAAGCAGTGACTAACAGAAACTTAAACATACAGAATAATGGGCAGGAAGTGAGGCTAATGGCTAAAAATAACTATCTTGAGATATTACTTTGAAAAAAAAAAAAATCACCCAACTACCACCAATCGGGGACTGCTTCAGTTGTTAGAAAATTCAAATCTAAATCAAAATACAAGAAAATTAGGATTTCAAAATTAAGATTATCCTTATCTTATTAATTGTGGATTTTCTTTAACAAAGGAGAATGGTTCTCTAAAAATATCTTATTTCTTAATGACTAAGGAGAAAAAATTCTATTATTTTTCCTCATTTTAAAAACAGCCCCTCAGATAAGTCAAAGGCAAAGAGTCTTCCAAACAGGTAATACAGAATAGTTCATATGGAAACAAGCTCTCTCTACTTCTTTATCCTTCCTCTGTGAAATGTCAAGTTAAATTTCTGAAAACAGCATTTCTGAAATATTATGAAAACTTAAATCACTGAGTTAGAAATCAGATAGTGTATATGTACTCAGTCGATTTTTCAGAAGTAGAAAGAAGCCTTTGGAGAGATATAAAGATACACATATAACTGTGTGAAAAAAGTAGACTAACAGAAATACGATGAGTTATACTTCTTAACTATTTTAGGAATTATAGTAGATTACTGCCTCTATTAAATTTTATAGTTGAAATACGAATGTATATTTGAAATATGAATGTAGTTTTCCTTTATTAATACTATTGACTCTAATGAAGTTGTTAGATCTATACTATTAATTACCCATTCACTTCCAGGTATAATGCAAGGGTCAAATGATTTGGCATAAGAGCAGTACACATTTTTTTCATTTGAATGAGATTATATAGTTTCCAAGAGAAAAAAAGGCTTGTAACTAAATAATATAATTAAGTTTAAGTGATATTTCTTAGCTTAATTACTAACTCAAGATCAATAACCAAAACAGAGGTTTAGAAAAATTTTAAAGCTTTAAGAAGTGACAAGCCATTTCTTATAGATGGAAAACCTAGTTACTCACCAAGCCTGTTTTCCTGAAAAACCTTATCTATTGGCAACTGTTAAGAGTACACAGGGCATCTAAGTCTGAAAAATGCTCTTTGCACTGCCCAAGTATCTGCTTATGTAAGTAAGACCCATTGTCAGCCACATTATAGGGCTTCCATAACATCCGTTCTAGCCTACTGCTAATAGAGAGGACAGGGAGTGAGGTTACCACAACCAGAGACAATATTACAGCTTCAGAGGAACAAGCATTATCACCAAAATCTATTAACATTAAATGATTATGTAGATGAACCACTAGGAGTTCAGGAATTGCATAAAGCAAAAAAACATGTATTATAGTAACTAAGGGTGAAATTAAATTCTTAACAGAATAGGACAAGTGTGTGATTATAACAAAACGGCTACCCTGAGAAGTTGAAAGCAAAGACAGAAACTCTGATTTAGCTACCTTTGAATAAGCTATATATGTAGAGGAAAAAAAGAGAGAAGAGGCCTTCTCTTAACTCTGTCCATCTAGTTGCTAGACTCTATTTCCTTCTAGTTTTTCTGAAAATAAATCTCTTCAGAGAATATCTGTCAAAGGATTTGAAATGTCACTGGTATTCTTTCATGTCCTTCAAACTCTCAAGGAACACACAAAATATCTCCGTAACATCTAGAGTACGACAAGCTAAGTAAGTTCCGTAGGTCTTAGTGAAAAATTCAACCCTGATCCTCCCATGGACTCCTTGGGCAGTCTGAAGTCTATGGACCCCTCTTCAAAATAATGTTTTTAAATGCACAAAATAAAGTACATAGGATTGCAAAGGAAAGTAATTATACTAAAATGCAATAACCTTCATTTTTTTTAAGTTCACAGACAACAGTTTAAGAACCCTTGCCCTGGATGAAAAGGACCCACTATCACTAGATCCAGAATTCAGGGAAACCATTCCTGCTGATCACTAGGGTAAGCTGCCTTTTCAGTCTCTGGATTTTTGTTAAAACATCTGTAAATTAAAAGGAAGAGCACCCTTGAATAATAGGGAATGAATAGCTTGTCTTCTGCCTAGGACTGAAGAAAGGACAGGGGATATAAAGGGCTTAGTGCCTTTAATTATTTACTAGTAATGAAAGGATGAAGACAGAATATAGCACAGGAAGGAGAGCTGACCTGAATCAGGAAGATCTGAGTTCAAGTCTTACCTCTGACACATACTGATTGTATGAGCCTGGACAAGTCCCTTAAGTTCTCAGTGCCCTAGGCTTAGTGCTGTTTAAGACTAGAAGTTACAGAAAAGGAGCTGATGTACACAGATTGAGGGAGTTACCTAAACAAATGAAAATCATTAGTCTAGTCCAATGACAGGATGACCATTATCCATGTATTGATTTAAAATTTGCAAAGCACTTCACACAGTCTCTCTTTTGAGCCTCATAATCATCCTGTAAGGTTATTATTATATATTAAGGGATTATAATAATTACAGGTATTACTATCCCCGTTTACACATCAAAATAACTGAGGCTGAAAGAGGTTAAGTGACTTGTCTGGTCACATAGTTATGTGTCAGAGGAAGGACATGAACCCAGGTTCAGGACTCTATCCACTATAGCACACTCCTTCTAATAGTAAGGTTTAAAAAAAAAAAAGCATATGGAATACATTAACTTATGGCTGTTTTCTATGGATATTCATCGGCAATTTTAAAAAAGTTCTTTCAGAATGTATACATAAAATGCTCTATATGCCTTACCTATTAAAGATTTGATATTTTCTAAGATTAAGTCGCTAGTGATATTTCCAGACAAATCCTGCCCCAATTCTGCAATCAGTTTTGCATAACCTTCGTTCTCTTCTCTTAAGAGATTGAATTTTTGCTGCTTATAACTGAAAGTAGATAAACACAGTTAAGTAAATAAGACCAAGTTAAACAAATATTTGTGTGTGTGTCTGTAATGTATTTTATTTGTTGGATTATATCTCACAAAGTTGCAGCAATTTTAACACTGGGTAAGATTTTCATAAAAAGGGGATAAAAAGACTAGTTTTCAAGAAAGATGACAGCTTTTCTTATATAATGATGAAATCATTATACTGAAATTCAAAATGTAACACCAGGCTGGAAGAAATATATTATCTTCCTTTTGTAATCTAAGAAATCACCTTATAGTTACTACTTTGTTAATATCAAAAAAACAACAGAAGTTATTTTAATTCAGCGATTAGATTGTTTTATATTATCAGATGAAAATTTTAACCACAAAATTTTAACAAAATAATAAAACAATAAAATAAATATAAAATATATTAAAAAATAAAAAAATAAAACAAAATTTTAACTTTTAAGCTACTTTAAAAAGGTAATGGTTAAAAAATGCCAAATATCCTGGTTTTTAAAAATAACCAACATACACAAATTAGGAACTGAAAATATTAATTCTACCACCTAATATACAACGACATGCATATACTTACAAAAGTTTTGTCTTGATTTTAACAGATTTTTGATTGAATTGCTGGGACTGCTTAATAAGCCCTAAAGATTCCAACGTTTCTGGATCCAAACGCTCCTTTAAGATTGTGTCTGAAACTAAATACTACATAAAACAAGAGTGGTTTTTTTAAAAAGCTATTTTTTCTAAGTTTTCAAGTTCATATTTTTATTCCACATGACTTCAAGATACTGTTTTAACTCTAGATGTAAAAATCAAATGCTATATATATGTAGTTTACCATGAAACATAATTTTGACTTTTAAGCAATCTAACTCCAAAGACTTTAAAAAAAAATAAAAGGTATGTACGCAGTGTATGTAGTGGGGATATGTTATTGTTTTCTAAAAAAATACTCTCCAGGAAAAGTTTGCCATATATAATCTACCCATGTAAGTATTGAGAGTGAAATTCTACTTAAATTGAAATCCACATTATCTAAACATTCTAATAAGTTGTAAGTCAAAATATGTTATGACACACAGGGCATATTTCTAGTTTTCAATATTGGGATGTCACTTTTGTATTCAAATGTATGAACAAACAGTACAGAACTAAGTAATGCTTACTACAAAACAAATTTTAATTTTTGTATTAAATCATTTCTTTACTTTCTCCCTCTAATTCAATGGAGGTAAGAAATTTTTTTCCCCATAAATTTCAAATTTATACACATCAACTCATTTTCCTCACACATGCTAACAAAATAATACATATTGAGAACAAAAAATAAAAGATTCTAATATGTATCATTTAATGATTTTACTAAAACACCGATAAATTATCACTTTTTAAATATCTCACTTCTTTGGGAAAAAACCTTTTCAAAGACTTAGGCAAATATATATTAGCAAATTTAATATCAATATGTCTAAAGAAATTTTTCAAAATTATCTCCTCACATTGGATAGTTTACAACTCCTTGTTTTAATACAACCTAGGAAATAGGTGGTTTGAATACCTCTATTGAACATATATACCTAAAAATGCTAGAACCTTGTTCTATATTATTCAACATATCAGCTCCAAGTATACGGGTGGATATATATTCATCACTATTTATGAGTGTTAAGTTACTAAAGTACAAACGAAAAGAACCTTGTTATAAAGCAGTCTCACTTATCAGGGACTGACAAAACAAGGTTATAGTAGTGTTGCATTGCTCTGAAAATTATCAGTTATTTAATAAACTCTCAATTCTCCAATTTGTGATTGGAAATTTTTAAGATTAAACTCATCAGGGGTACAGAGTTTGCTTTTTAGTTTCTTTGTCATACCCTCTTCTTCTGTTTAGTTTTATTTAGCAAAGAATCTGTAACTGAGTAAGAATGGAAAGGGAAGGGCCACTGAAATTTCCTCACTCTGATCAATGAATCAATCTCTGAATCAATGAATCAATCAAACTTTGATCAATCTGAATCAATCAAAATTCCAAAGGACTGAAGATGAAACATGCTACTGATCTCCTGCTACTGATGGAGTCAGGGTACAGAATAAGGCACATCCTTTTGGACAATGCCAAAGTGAGATATTTTGCTTGACTATGCATATGTTATGTTGGTTTTCCTCTTTCAATGGGGGGGGAGGGGTAGGAGAGAAAGGGAAAGGTAACAAAAGGGCTGAAAAAAAAATTTTAAGATCATCATTGAAGTATATTTTTGAAGGTAGAAAAAGGGACAAAAGGAAATAAAAAAAATCAGAAGAGCTCTGAAAGTTACATTTTGTGTTTATTATATACCTAACATAAAATGCAGTTGTACATAATTGAGACTTACAGTTTCATTTGCTCTTTTTCTGTTCTATTTGGTATATGGAAATGCTTATTTTATTTGTTTTTTAAGACATATAAATTTTTTAAAATATTTTTCTCTACATACTCCAGTACAAGTAGCATGAACAACCTTTCAGATCAAATTTTACCTTTATCATACTTGAAGATGACAAACAGAACGGGAGAATTCAAAGGGGTCCTTTGCATCAGCTGGATGCTCACTCCCAAAATCCAGCTACACTGGCCTACTTTCTATTCCTCACACATAACATTCCATCTACCAACTCTGTGCATTTGCACTGGATGTACCCCATGCTTAGAATGCTCTCCCCTTCTCACCTCTAACTTCTAGTTTCCTGGCTTCATTCATGACTCAGTTTAAATTAACCTCATTTTCTAAGAGACTTTTCCTGCCCTTCCCCTGTCCCACCTCCCCACTGCTACTTGATGCCTTCACTCTTAAGATTAACTCTCATTTACACTTTATATACACCTTGTATTACCTACTTATTACCACGCTGTTTCCTCCATTAGAATGGGAGCTCCTTGACAGCACGGACCATGTTTCTGGCTTTCTTTGTCTCCCCAGGGCTTAGAAAACTACTGGCCTAAGTATATGTTAAGAGTTTAATAAATGCATACAAACTTGTATACTAACAGGGATTGAGAAGGAACTAAACAAAAGGGTTGATTCCAACCCCGCCCTCCAGTCAGGTATTAATTTGGTTTTACTGTTGTTTAGAGTGTTACGAATTTCCAGAATGTCAGAAATAGCCAAAAAATATAAGCATATTTGCATTCCAAAGTCAAATTTGATTTGGGAATTATCATATTACCTATTTTTTCAAGTTATTACCACTCTGTGCCCATATTAGCATGAAAAATTAAAAGATCATCACAATCACATTCTAAACTATAAAGTTCAGCAAAGAAAAAAAATTCCAAAGGACATACTTACCAAACAGGATAACACCAACTGTGTAAAATGGTCTCTCTTGCTTTTTTCTTCTAAACAACTTGTCTCAATATCTATGACAAAGATAAAGAAATTGAATTGTTTTATAATTTTTACTGAAAGCTTTAACCTTCTAGCTTCTCCAAACAAGGTTACTTACTTCATTTAAAATTATTACTAAAACAACCTGCTTGTTTGTTGTTGTTGTTGTTTTTTAAGTTTGTTACTGCCCCCCATATATGAAATGGTTTTATGCTTTTTGGTTTTTTTCTCCTAGTGGTGGTGATGGATCCATACTCTCTCACCATGTTCCCTTTAGACCAATGGACAAATTCATAAGACAGCTAGCCAGTATGAAAAGTACAGTTCGTGGCCCTGGAAGTTTGAGTGAAAGGTTTTGTTTGTTTTAATTTAACAACAACAACAAAAAAAAATGGGGGGGGGGTCTAACAACTAAAGCTGTCCAACAATACAATGAGCTACCACCAAAAATAATGAAGCTCCCCAGCACTTAAGTGTTGAAGCAGAGGCTAAATATCATATAGAAGACTTCTGCATTGAATAAAAGAACAGATTAAATGACATCTAAAGTCACTTCCAATTCTATTATTCTAAATGGTACAGCTACAGATTAAATAAATGATTTTGGCTTACTTAACATTCTAATCATTTTTAAGCTATTCAGCAACAAAAAACCCCAAATATTCAAATAGGATCTACTATTTCATTGATTTGGTTGTTCTCTGGAATGATGCAAACTACAACCTTTCCATTCTTGTCCATGTATTCTTATCCATATCATCCTAAAAACTTGCCACAGTGACAAGCTTTAAAGGAGCTTTGAAATTTCCTCAAGGTATTTTAGCTTACTCTCCTCCTAGTTAACTCTGGCCCTAACTTATTGTCTATTTGTATTGTCCTACATACACACATAGACAAGCCCTAAGAGTTGCCCATTCAATTTGATTGTCATAATTTGGGCAAGAGACATTCGTCAGCCACTTAACTTTTCCCATGTACATAGTTAGCCCAAATTCTTTTGTTAGTTTTGGACATAGTCCAGGAGAACCTCCAACATTCTAGGATTTGATGTGACTAGTACAACATCCTTGGTAAATAAATTTGTAGAACTTTACCCTTTGTAGAGGATCCACCAACTTGGATCCTGTGCTGGATCTCCTCTATCACAGTGGGAAACACAAACACCTCATTTTGTATTTCCAATACATATAACCAGGAAATCATGAATCAAAGTTGTCTGTGTCATAAATTTCAAAGAGTCTTGAATGATTATCACATACCAATAGTATTATAAGGAATAATATTCCTTATTGAGTAACCTTACTGGTGGCATTTTGCTCTACCAAATGACATGCTTGTACTCTTTTACATCTTTAACAATTTGTGTGATGGTAAAGATGTGGGCCATCTTGGAATATCTGCCTATTTCCTAATATCCTCACCAAGGGTGCCTCCTTGAATGGGTTGATTATACTAATAAAAATTTCTGCATACAGATAGCAATGTAGGTATAAACATCAATAGTCAATGCTCTCAATTACCTATTTTTATAATTATTAATAAGGGTACCCTTCTTTTAGATACTTTATGAACTGAAACACCCTCCTAAGTGTGTTGCCACTCCATCCTTCCCAGATTCTCAATGTACACCGGCTCCAATCCAGCTGATTTTCCCATTTTTGGTCTCTTTGGTACCTTTGTTAAGTACAACTGGGACTGTGATATTGAGACACCAAGTGTGGTAGCTACACTGTCCTTGAAAGAAGAAAATGTTATAAAAAGCCTTTGATAACTCTTCCACCTTTATTCTGTTTGTTGTTCTTTCATTTTCATTCTTAAATGCCCTTGGCATGTCTCAAATTTTCTTTAAAGTGGCTTGCTCTCCACTGCTTCTCTCTGCTTTTTAAGACAATACAATTCATGACCTTTCAATATTGTTCTCCCTAAGACTTTACAAATGAATGTATATTCTAAACTAGTGTTGTATTTGGCTGCTGTTTGGCAAGTCAAGTGTTTGCTGACTAAAGCCACTTTTTGGCCTCATTATGGCAACTGATTTATAACAGTTAAACTTCTCTATGACATTATAAGCAGTGTCAATGTACTTTCTCCAATTCACTATCCACTTTTCATTATCAATAACTTGTTTGGATATGTCAGGATTGACTAGTTTCAGCTCCATGTCAAATTTTTTTGTCATTATTCTTTCTTCTAACCGTATACCATTTTTGACCTCTGCTCTAACAAGACACTGATCTGACTATAAACTTATTCAGGATGACTATCAGGAATGACTTATCAGTTACAAGTTGCTTCCTGTCTTCAAGAAGAGGCTAGATTACCACTTACATGATGTGTTTTAGCGGAGATCCCCTATTACATATGGGTTCTACTAGGTGACTGGTAAGGCCCTTTCAAACTCTGAAGTTCTATAATTGTTTAAATATAATACAACTAATTTTTTGTGATGCTACTGGGTGTTAATTACGCCCATCATTTACTGGTTCTTTTCTTTTAAAAAGTATTCATGAAGGAAAGATGTGAGGCTTCTGTGTAGCATACAAGTCTTTGGCCTTTCATTCCTTATTCTTAGTTCATGTTTTCCAATATACTTCTCACCATTCTTACCCACTCCTACCTTTGAACTGAAATCACCGAGTAGCAAAGTGTATGCTTTCTTAATTTGGAAGGTGTTATGTGGTCCTTTATAGAATTTATCTACTACTTCATCTTCTGCAGAGGTTAGTGCAAAAACTACCACTATTTTCATAGCATTTCTTTCGCTAATATTTATTACAATCTCTGCAAAACAAGATAATCAGATGCCCCATGAGATGTTTCTTGTTGCCTTTGGGTACAATATAAAAACCAACCCCACAAATTCTATTCTTAGTATTTCCAAAGAACATCTGAGAGCCACTGACTTCTTTCTCCTGGCTTCAAAGAAAGGGTTATTATTAATCTGGAATCTGTTACTTCTTTTAAAAATTTTTTGATGACTCTATTTCAATATAATTGGTTTCCTTTATAATCCTATGCCGTTTATTTTATCCATCTAAAAACTTATTTCTGAGGAGTCCATAGGCTTCACCAGACTGCCAAAGGGTCCATGGCACAAAAAAGGTTAAGAATTCTTGATTCACAGCAAGAGTATCTGGATTGATATTATTCAGTCCATTTAATCACTAAACAAGGATGTCAGATTTAGAACACCAGCTACCAAGTTTCGTAGACTGTCTAAAAATAGAATGATCTTTAGCATTCTTGGTCCCCTTTTCTACCATTCTGCCACTATGAGTGCATAAAGTGAAAAAGGGCCACACGAGACTGAAGGTCATTTTATAGTTTTTTGCTGAATGAATTACCATAGTCAACGAATTAATCAGCAAGCAGCCAAACTACTAGTAAGGAACCTCTCCATACTTAGCTTGGCTGATCTTCAAAAAGCAGACTCAGTCCATTGCCATGAATATAGCTGAAGTTTGTCTAGCATGGTAGGACCTGCCAGAATATATGGCATAACCTTCAAGAAACCAGGATGACATCCATACCACAATGCTTCAAAAATTATATAGTATTTTCAAAACCTTAATGTCATACTAAATGTCTAATAGCTAACATAATTTGTATAACTGTTCACAGCCATAAAAAATTTTTTCTAATGTCAGAAAATTAAGAGTTCCACAAGTTTCTTCAAAGCACTCAATGTTTTTTTTTTTTAATTCCTTTTTAAAATAAGACAGCTAGCACAATGAAATAGTTCCAACTTCATGGTATCAAGAAATTCAACCATTACTAAGGAATTGCCAGGATTCACAGATGCACTAATATTCACAACTAATCTTTAACTAAAGAGTAAGAGAATTTCAAAATACCAATAGTTGAGTTACAGGCACAGTACCTTCACATAGGTTTCAGAATATCAAATCTATCCCTTTCCAGATACTTCCAACTATCACTATATCCTTTCTAGTCAGTTGACTTCTTTCTCGACCTTCAGTGGCACAGTCCTCTCATTAATCTACTTATATTCTGATATCTCCCAGTCTTCCATCCTCCAAAGCTTACCTCTTTCATCCCCCTAAATCTCTAGGGAAAATCAAAATCATTCTCCTGGCAGCCACCTGCCATCCCCTATTGAACTTCTGTTCCCTGGCCTCTCAAGAAATCTCTGATGAAACTTGTCATTTTACCTCTTAGCTAATCCTCCTTTGCACAGCCTAGGTCTGTCATAGAAGTCCTTCTTGCCATTGCTCTCTGTTTTTATTCTTAAAGCTTCGTTTAAAAGGGAAGGAGGCCCATCACCCCAATATCGCCACCTCAGAAGCCTTTTCTCCCCACTATAATACAACATGCATCTCAGTAAATCTGGCAGCTACCTCTTTACCTACCAAGTACCTAATGAGCATGTGAATTTCTTTACCATCTTCACCTGGGAAGACCCAAGGAAAGAAAAATTTTTGTTACACAGCTATCTTAGTCATCTTCCTGAAAAACCGAATTGTGTGGACCATGAATATAGTTATTTACCCCCTAAAATAGAACCAAATATGAATTTGTAAAAATTTGTCTATTGAAAAATAATTATCTTACAGGCACATCATGAGAATAAAGCATTGTTATTGAATTATTCAAGTATAAAAACTTTTTCTTCCTGTCAATGATTTCTAACAAAATAAGTCAACTGTCAGAATTCTAAAATATCACAGTTCAAACATTGTAATTATCAGTAAACAAGCTTTTTATAAGTGACTATACTAGGTCTTTAATTTCTAAAATTCCATCATAAGTAACAACCAACATACATTTTTAAAATTTCACTTGCTTAATGTTAAACCTCTCTCAAAATAATTTAAATAGGTACAAAAGAAATCACAATAAGCTATTCAACAGGCTCAAGACAAGCAGCCAGAATTAAATGGAAAAAGTCACTCTATTCCTTGTTCCACAAAACCTCACTCACAATTCTAAAGCATTCTGATCTGCTTATTACAAATTCTATGTCATTATTTTTGCCAGCTTGAAAGAGGTATTTTCAAGGAACATTCACTTATTTAGGCCAAAATGTACACTTTCAATGAGACAAAGGTATCCTAAACCAAGGTGTAATGAACAAATTTATCAAAGAGCCAAAGTAGTAATTCAAAACTTGACATATAAATTTGAAGATTGCTTTATGTGACAAGTATTTAAAAGTGGTGCAATGTTTTCTTTTAAAAATTAAAAACAAGTAAAATGAAATCTAACTTTTAATAACCATTACTAGGTAATTATGTACTTGAGATTTTAGTCCAGATATAAACTGTTTTTTGAGCATAAATAAATTTATCAGCCCACTGAAAAAAAGGATTAGATTTCCTTATCTATTGTACATGGTCACTAAAGCAAAACCAGTACTTTTTTTTTTAATCTGGCATAAGATCATCTCGGACAAGTAGAAAACTGACTATTTTGGGAGGCAGCTAGGTGACGCAGTGGATAGAGCTCTGGTCTTGGAGTCAGGAGTACCTGAGTTCAAATCCAGCCTCAGACACCTAACACTCACTAGCTGTGTGACCCTGGGCAAGTCACTTAACCCCACTGACTCATCAAAAAAGAAAAATTAAATAAAAAATTTAAAAAAAGAAAAAAAGAAAACTGGCTATTTCTAAAATCTGGTTTATTCACTGGCTTAAAAAGTTTCTCAACTTCAAAACTAAAGCAGTCTTTTCAAATGACCTATTATTGTTCAAGAGAGAAAAAAAGTCATTAAAGAGGATGAAGCACATTTATGGAAAATGAGAATTTTAGACCTTACCATAAATTTAAATAGCCTGCCTATTAAATTGACAACAAAATAGGGGGCTATTTTATCTGAACTACTGTAAATTATTTAGCTACTACTCCCATCAAATAGCCTGAAGTCAACTTTAAATTGCTTGGAATGCCTTATCAAAAAAGAATAAATAAACCCAAAATGCCTGAATTACCACTGTACTTTACTCATAACACTCCAATTTCCAAGAAGAAAAAGCAGTTAACTACATAGGTCCACAGAGTCATTTGTATAATCTTTTGTTTTGGGAGGGGAAGGATTTTATGAGCTTACCAAATAGCTCTTTTCATAGTTGAAATGAAGAACTGATACCTACCTAAGATGCAGAATACATCAGCTAGGATGGAGGGCATATCCTCACGACAGTCCTAAATTTTGAAGATAGAATTATCATGGCATTAGAACACCACCCTTAAGTGAATTTTTTTTTTATATTACTGTTGAAAGGTCTAGGCACCACTATATTGATGTGTACTTTAAATCCGTCAATTGAATTTCCTATATCCAGAAAATTAAAAAGGTCAGAAATTATAGAAATCACAGATGAGAAGCATGGGAATCATGAAATAATTTGGCAGAATGTATAACAGCACAAAAGTATAACTCTTTCAAACAGCATCCTAAATTAGAAACCACCTGTATTAAAGGCACCTCACATCTACCCAAAACAGAATCTGGTAATGAACTATTGATGAAACATTTCTTATTTAAGTTTGTTAGATTTATATTTAAGTTATAACACTAACCTATGTAAAAATTAGTCTATGACGCTCACACTTCATCAGGACAGAAGTATAAAAAAAAATCAAAAACCCTAATATACGGTTGTCCTATAAACTTTACTCTTTCAAAATACATATTACGTATTTATATACACCAGATCCCACCATCTTTATCTTATTCCATTACTAATCAACTAATATGTCTTTCACCTTTGGAGAAAGTGTATTTGGGTTGGTTTTTTTTTTTCCATTTCTAGTACCATACTTTAGGAGCAGTATAGTATTTTCCTACAGACAGTCTCATTTTTCCACCTCCATTTTATCACCCTCTTTTCCATTAGTAACCTTCATAGCACAAGAGCAGCAATTAGTCGTTGGCTAACACTGAACTATTTGCAAAGGCCTAATAGAAATCAGCAGGAGTCTTAAAAAAAAAAAAATCAAGCTGCTAGGATAAATTAAATGAAATGCATTTGTGTAACTAAAATTATAAGGCACGCCATGTTGCTGTGGGTACGTATGCCATGACAAAAGGAACAAGTACAACAAGCAACCCTGGTCAGCATTAAGAAGAAAATTCAAAATGGACATCCCCCCCCCCAAAAAAAGAGTCCATACTCTTCACATATCAAAATGGTTTATTTGTGGGTATGTTAAATAAGTTTAAAAAAAAAAAACAAACCTTCAGATATACTCCTGTAAACACCACCACCACCCCCTGCTCTGAGGAAAAAACAAACACATAATGCTAAAAATACAACCCAAATTTCAGAATGGAAAAAAAAAAATAATCAATTACCAACTACTCTGATGCTAAGTTTCAAAAGGGTCATAAGGTTTTGGTTTTAATTCCACTGCTTTACATGAACATCAGAAAACAAAAGAGTTAAATTTTAAAATATTACACATTAGCTGTGGGTGGTGCCCAGAAGAATGAGTAGAATGTTACAGACTAGTACAACAGTACCAGGTTCATATTGTGTGAGGATATTCTAAGAACTACACGCTGCCCCAAACCCCCAAGATACTTTATTCCAATCCAAAAATCAAGACAAAGGCACTGAGGAGCACCTGAAGACTTGCCCCTATCTCTGCCAACCAATAAAGCACTTGGAAAAGAACTGGCTTGAAGCAGCACTGGGAAAAATGTACACAGGGACAAAGAGCCCCCAATTACCAGGAAACATGAAGAGAGGTGGTTTTCAAATGTTCTAGGGATTTTGTTCCAGTCTGACTCATTTCACTCCCTAACAGCAGGAACTGACCACATGTAAGCAAACTTCTAAAAACGTATGAACTAGCTTAGTCTCTGCAGCCTTACCATTTAGGAGACACTCTTCCAGATAAAATAGCAAATTAATCAGAAACATTCTCTGATCTGAAACAAAACTTAATTCTAATAAAGAAAGTTAAAATAGAGTACGTCAATTCCTGTAATAGAGCGGAATAAATTTTAACATCTGGTTTCTTTGAGGTTAATATTATTTACAACACTGGTGGAAACTAACAGGCAAAAGATTTCAAGAACAAAGCAATGCATCATTTTATAAGCAGAGCCTAAAATACAGTTGCTTGGTTTTAGTCATTAAAATTTCAACTTACATACACACAAGCAGAATAACAAAATGCTTAGCTTTATACAAGGTATTTTTTTAAACTGGTTAGATTTTTAACCATGGTATTTATCATGTTTTCATCTTCAGCAAGCTTCACCTTAGCTCAGTACAACATACTACTTTTCTTTTACCTCCCCCTCAAATATGTTCTGCTTTGCTTTCAACAGGGAAACATTTTAATTCTATATAAACAAAATTATTTGGCATTGTTAACATCTTTCAGGTGAGATAAAACTTAATAAATCTGAAGAACCTCTATTTCAAAAGGCACCATGTATCAAAACTGTTCCTTTTCATCCTTCAGAAATAAGGCAAATGTACCATTAAATATGTATACTTACAATAATGTCACTGAGAACACTGGATGCTTGTTCATGTTTTAGAGTTCCCCTTATGACATGATATGAGAGCTCATAGATAACTTGCTGGAGATCTGTTGAACAAAACATACATTGGAAATGCACAATTACTAGAATAACATATGCTTCTTGAGGAACATTTGCCTAACTTTCAGATTCTTTTAGTTACTACTGTAAACAACAATACTGAAACACTAACTTTATTTTACTAGTGAATTTAAAAGGAGTTTTTAAAATGTATTAAGTAACAGTTAACTAAAAATTTTGGGGGGGTGAGGCAATTGGGGTTAAGTGACTTGCCCAGGGTCACACAGGTAGTAAGTGTCAAGCATCTGGTCTGAGACTGCATTTGAACTCAGGTCCTCCTGACTCCAGGGCCAGTGCTTTATCCACTGCCCCACCTAGCTGCCTCCAGTTAATTAAAATCTTAAAAACTGGAAGCGAAAGGCAACACAAAACCCTGGCTTTCTCTCCAGCCTATTAACACACAGTGAACAACCTCTTTCTCCAAAACCTTTTCTTTCTCCAAAATCGTTTCTATTTCCCTTCACTACTGCTTAAACTATTATAAAAAGCAAATAGTAAGGACAATGTTTAAAATACATATGTTCAAGGAAACTGTATTAATTACCACTGGGCTCATCACCCCTTATACTCCCATCCCACTGCCCCAGCCTTTACAGCAAAGAGGACAGAAGGACAAGGGAACCCCATTCCTCTATGACATCTGTCTATACTTTGGTCCTTTGCACTATAAGCTTCACTTCCACTGTCTTTCTACCTGATGGAAAATAGAACCCCACAAACCCTACTACATAACAAAGTATGTTTCAACTCTCTTTTGTGGGGAAAAAAAATAAGTGAAAACATTCATAAAACTGTTCCTGTATACTAGCTCCAAAGCCACAAGGGAAAGCAACATACTACTGAAGGGAGAAAAAAAATTCTATATTCTTTTTCCTAACCCACATATGGAATTAGGAAGATAAAAGGAAACAAATGTGCCTCAAAACAAAATTAGCTAGGGGGAAGGAGCAAACTTCACTAGTTTTATTATACTAACTCCTTAAAAGATGCACAAATAACCATCATCAATGCAACATTCCTGCCCCCCAAAAGAGGAAAAACAATTAGTATCATAACCTAACAAAAAGTCTCAGAAAGTTCTCAGTGTGCACTGGAACTAAAGGAATTCTAGTTTTAAATAAACGGAATCAATTAGTTGGTTATGACAATAGCCCAGGTGAAAAGTGATGAGGCCACGAATTGGAGTGTGAATTGAGAGATGAGGATGGATGAAAGAAAAGTGCAGAAGAGACAATATGAAGAAAAGTCAAGGATGACTCAAATGTTACTATTATTCATCATAATCTTATTAGATGTATTTACAAGGAAATAGCTAAAAAAAAGCAAATTCTTAAAAATGTCTCAAGAATATCAAGAAATGACATTACTTCAGTGATAAGGAATATCTTTGATTTTAAACCTCAAATTTCCTAGGAGAAGGGAAATCTCATCCATATTTCATCTTGTCTATCAATGTGTACTTTATCCTATCACTTTTATAAACCATCCAGTTCTCACTACATATTATGAGTAGAGGTACAAACTGAATAAATATTATCTAATAACTTTTTTTATATAAAGAACTTAGCTAAAGTAAGTTCTAAAATCAAGAAAATGTAAGATACAAGGTTTTACCATAAGGAATGCTACAGAAAATGTTTCCAACTCCCCAGAAATTTAGCAGGTTTTCCTCTCTCTAATAACAGAACTACAGCATTAATGAGTGGTTCGATGTTCCAAACCATCATTTCTTAAAAGGTAAGAGTAAAAATGTTAGTTGGCAAAGAAGCACCTTGAAACAGGAAAGAACTTTTAAAACAAAATTAACAGAAAAAAACTAATCATTTACTGCTTTTAAAATACATTTTAATTACAGCTTTTAAGTCATAGTTGTTATGTAAATTCTCTTTGCTTTTAGAGTTTTCCCTAACTGATGTAAGAAATTCCCAGATATCACCTAAACATAAACACCTTAGCAATTTAAAAAATTGAACTTCAATTTCTGGCAGTTTTCTTAGACAAAAGAGTTATTCTGAACTATGCCCAAAGGCCTATAAAATCATGCATACTCTTTGACCTAGCAATACCACTACTAGGTCTGTATCCCAAAAAGATAAAACAAAAAAAAAAGGACCTATATGTACAAAAATATTTATAGCAGCTCTTTTCCAGTGGCAAAGAATTGAAAATTAAGGGGATACCCATCAATTGGGGAATGGCTGAACAATCTATGGTATCTGATTGTGATGGAATATTGTTGGTTTTAACAAATGAGTTAGATACTCTCAGAAAAACCTGGAAAGACTTACATGAACTGGTGCAGAGTGAAATAAATGAGTAGAACCAGGAGAAAATTGTACACAGTAACAGCAATGCTGTAAGATAATCAACTATGAATGACTTAGATGTTTTCAGCAATACAATGATCCAAGACAACTCTGAAGGATTTATAATGAAAAATTCTATCCATCCCCAGAGAAAAAACTGATGCAGAGTCTGATTACAGATTGAAGCACACTTTTTTTATTTTATATTTCTTGGGTTTTTTAATTTTGGTTTGTTTTCTTTTACAACATGATTAGTATGGAAATGTTTCACATGACTATACCTGTATAATCTGTATCAAATTGCTTGCCTTCTCAATAAGGAGGGTGGAGAAAGAGGGAGAGAATTTGCAATTCAATTTTAAAAACAAATGTTGAAAATTGTTTTTACATGTAATTGGGGGCAAATGAAACATTAAATGTAAAAAATTGACCACATATATTAAAAATAAATGAACAAAAAAAGAGTTATTCTTTCTGCATCAGTTTATTTTTGTCCTATTACTCACTGATCATTTAAGATATGGCAATTGCTAGCTGAATTAGAATAAGAAAACCTAAATAAATATAATCCCATTATAAAAAGCTTTCCTATACCATAGGTTTGATTAAAAAGCAACCCAAATTTTTATATATATATATACACCAAGCACCTCCTACTACATAAGAAATCTAAAATAGATGTTATCTTGAACAAAAGAATTATAATGAAATTCCTACTATTTTACAACCTTGTTTCTCAAAGAACATCAAAAAAATGAAGGAGTCAGTAGGACAGGTAAAAACAGAAACTAGACTAGCCATCCTGTATCAAGTCATATTTCCACTTTTGTTTTTACCATTTCAAAACAGTGAATTGAGACTATCATATTTATCAAATTTTTATTCCAACTCATTTCAAAGCACTTACCTCTGAAAATCAAATGTTCACGGTTTTTGTTTTCACAAAGGGCTCGACATAACTGCACACTAAAATAAGACAAAAATATTACATGTATCAACTTGATTAGAAATGTTAAGTATGTCTGGATATATCAAGCTACCTGCTTCTTTCAATGTCTCCCAACTAAAGTAACATCATACAAGAATGCATACATATAGTGACATCAGGACAGGATGCAAAACTATAAGCAAATACTAACATTTGCACTTATATTAATCCTTGCTCATTGTAATATTTAGTTGGTGAACAAGTTTCAGCATTTTTTTAAAAAATAGATAAGTCCAAAAACTAAGATGACTGCATAATGCTAACTGAATGACTTTCAATTCTAGAGGATTTTCTTGTCTAGAGGATTTTCACATAGCAAGTTACTAATGCAATTTAGTTATACTTAGTGTATTATAAAGATATGTCCATCAGATTATGTTAAAATCACAGCAAATAATGATTACATAATCTAGTCTGACTGTATGTATACATTATATATTGATTATATGTGCCTGTCTTTGTTAGTCACTAAAAAGATTAAATTACTCAGGACTGGTGCCAAAAGTAATAATGAATATGAAAGACTTCAAAAAATATATAGGAAAACTTTTATTAAGTGATTCAGAATGAAAAAAAGGAGAACCAAAGAACATGAATTACAACTATTTTTAATTTGAGTTATAAAGCATATACCTATGCTTCTGTAAAAATTGAAAGTGACGTATAAAGTTGTATTATCATCCACAGAAATTATTATGTTGTTTTACTTAACTCTTTTTGCCTACTGCAACTATCACTTCACAATGATACTTTCATGGACCCAAGTAAGTGGCAGACACCTTGGAGAAGAAAAAATTCTAAATCTGATTATATGAACCTAAAATATTATTGGTTCCTGTAGATTCTGATCTGCATATTAGACATCTTTCTCTTAAGGCTAATCCCATCTTATCTAATCTACTTTATATTCTGTGATAACACAACAGAGGACCTGTGTTAAAATACATTTCTGATCCAAGAGGAAACTTGGGTCATCCAAAGTCCTTGAAATAGTACCAAGATATTGTATGTTGTATACACAGAGATGATGTGTGCACTGCTTTGCACTCTAACATTTCTGTGACTGACAAATAAACCTGAGGCCACTATGGGCCACAAAGACCTGCACTAGAGACTCAACTCTGCCAAAGATTTGAATAACAAAAAGCAGTATTATGAGACACTTAAATGATACTTCCCACTTCATTTCATTTCATGATAATTTTAATTTACTAATACACCTTTACTGAACAAGAGGTCATAGAATTTGAGGGTTGACAATGACCTCAGTAACCATCTAGTCCAGGGGTGGGGAACCAGCAGCGTTGAGGCCACATGTGGCACTCTAGGTCCTCAAATGCAGCCTTTTGACTGAGCCCAAGTTTTATAGAACAAATCCTTTTATTAAGGGGATTTGTTCTGTGAAATTTGGATTCAGTCAAAGGGTCCACATTTGAGGAACCTAGAGAGCCACACAAGTTCCCCAGCCCGATCTAGTCTTACCCATATGAAAACTGTTGGCACCCACCATGGCAGTCACTATTGTTCCTGAAGCTGTGCCCACTTTTTAGCCCTTAACTGTTCCCCCTAAAGTACAAGTGAAACCACTTTTCTACAGTTTCTACTTGTCCTGGCACAGATAAAAGATCTGAAAGTAAATTTATATTCAAATACTTTTAAACAAACATCCCAGTTTCCAGCTTTCACCCCTCCTTTCTTCAACCCTCTGCACACTGGTAAGGAACCTGTCAATCTTTTCACTTTTCTAACCACATCACCTACCAAAACATCAGAATATCTGGTATCATTTATACTTTGAAACTCATAAAATCACTCATACAACCATAGAGTTGAAAGGGATCTTAAGACGTCATCTAGTCCAACTCATTTTTACAGAAGAGGAAGCTATAACCCTTAATTATGTCAAAATTATTTCAGATTGTGAAATAAGTGCCTCATGTCAAACAAGGCAAAGAATTTCAGACAATGGAAGGCATAAATTTTGGGGGTTTTTTCTTTTTCTTTCTTTTAAAGGGGAGGGGGTTGAAACTTGGCCCTGAAGTCATATAACACCTACGGCTCTAAAAGAAAACCTGTTTTAGCCATTTTGGAGTACCAAGGGAAACTAGATAGGAGAAAATAGGATACCGAGGTAGATTCCCTCCAGTTTCCATCCCCTTAACCCCACTACTACTCCACTTTCTCTTTACAGAAAAAAGTTAACAGGATCCAAAAAGGTTTTTCTGAGATGGGGTAATTTAAACATCTCTAAGTAAAAATCAAGGAAGCAGAGAGGGAGAAACTAAAAGATGAAGGACTGGAAATGACTAACAAAGCAGGGACCTAGAAAAAAGCAGGAAGAAATGTGACAAAGAACATAAATGAAAGGGTTATTAGCTCTCAAAGAGAAAGGTTACTTCATCCTCTTCAATAGGAAGAAAAAGATTAAAAAACACAGAAGTTAGGAAAACACACTGAATGGTCTCTATTTTCTCCAAGTCCCTCGTAATACAGCAAAATATAAAAAGCACAGTTATAGTTTTAAAAGGGGTTTTTAGCTTTCAACTTACACATGTATTTTTTTTTAATAAGAATTACAGGACTATGTAGGAATGAAATAATTCCACATTTCACAATCAAACTCCATATATAAGATAATGCTTTGCATTTGTACTTTCAATAAAACATTAAATTACACAAAAGTGTAGTGGATAGAGGGCCAGACTTGGAGTCAGGAAGACCTAGGTGCAAGTGGTTGTTCAACCACCCAGTGGTTGTAAGGGATGGACAAAAAACATTTAACCTCTCATTTAAGATAAAATGATCAATTACAGACAAGTAACCAGTCTGCATCAGTAGGGCTGGGGGTGAGGGATTTATATACCAAAATAAAATTCTTTAAAATATTATTTAAATTTATCATGTCACTATATCAGAATTTTTTGCTTAACTCATTTCCTTTGTCACAAGTGAAGATTTAATCTAGGTGAGAAGGGGGTGGATTCCTACTAAAAAAAAAATTACTAATGTCAAATATACATCAATAATATTTTTTAAATTAAGTACTCTCCTCTCCAGTATAAAAACAATAAGACTTTCCAGTTTATTTTTTATAAAAGTGAATACTGAAGAAGGAAACCACTTTAATGTTTTGAAAATATGTATTTGGGGCAAAAGGAATAGGAAATTTTTAAGACTACTTAACAAAATCATTTAGCGTTACTTCATCTACCATATTAACTTTTAAAGTTACCCTACCTTGACACCTAAACATTAGTTTCACTTTGTTTTGCAAACCAACAAAAAGAAAGCAAAAGTCTACACATTTGTTACTGGTATTCAGATTTAAAGTGAAATTAAATACTAATTGTCCAGTATGATCAAACAGGTAAGACTACATTAAAATATAACTTGAAAGTAAAATATGGCTAAAATGTCTTAAAAAGGACATAATTTGGGGGCAGCTAGGGGGCACAGTGGATAGAGCACTGGCCCTGGAGTCAGAAGGACCTGAGTGCAAACCTCACTTCAGACCAAACACTTGACTCTTACTAACTGTGTGACTCTGGGCAAGTCACTTAACTTCAATTGCCTAAAGAAAAAAAAAAAACACATAACTTCTATTCTCTAACAAAGAACTAGGGTAAGAGTAATTTCAACCATATCAGTTCCACACTATGACTGAAAGATTAACAAAAGAGACTTATAGACATGGATAATCTGAGCCAAACTAATTTCTTATTCTTGATAGTTTTAATATAGATGACCAAGGACTTACATTTTAAAAGTACATGATCCATCAAAATGCTTTCATATCTACCACTGCATTAATAATGCTATTCTCACTTGAAAGATGAAGAGGCTGAGGCACAGAAGTAAAATGCCTTGCCCAAGGTCACACAGCTGGTTACTAGAACAGAGGTTTGACTCAGAGATCTGTGCTTGGCACACTGTAAAAATGATCAACAAATCATTCAAGATGTCCTTTCTTCCTCAGAGAAGACTTGTTTTAGTAAGGTGTTGACAGGTAAGTTTTTCAAATATCATTATGTAAAGTAACATTTGTCCCCCAAAGAGAGCCACATGTTGGTTGAACACAAGCAAATCTGCATGCCTAATTTTATTGGATTTTTAAAATAATTTTTAAATTATTCATCACTAGCAGAATCAGAAACCTAGCATAGTCAAAAATATATGTAGTTCTGGAGAGGTGGTCAAATGAACTGGATTTTCTTTGCCAAAACCAAAATTCCATATTTGTAAGGGGAGGGGGGGAAACCTATTTAATTAGTAAAGACAGTAAGAAAATCATGGTAAGCTTTAAAATGGCTAACTTCTTTTGAGGGAATTGTCTTCCAGAAGAAATTCCATCTACATGAGAAATTATGCTTTGCTTCTGCTAAAAACATTTGTTATGTTCAGCTATTCCACTAGACATGTTTGGGAATAAAAAGCTCTCAGATCAGGAAATTAACTTCTACCAAGCTCCACGAACATAAAGAATCAAGTAAAAACAGAAGCAATTATTTTGTACTTTCTGATCAATGCATCATGACTCATACATTTGACATAGTCAACATTTTTTCAGTCACTAATCTGTGAGAAAAGGTACTATGTTTGCTAGTAAATGACCTGGAAGCCAGATTCAAAGGATCCTGAGGGTTCCTTCAAAAAGTTCTTTCATCATAGTTTTCAGGAAATGCTTAACACTTTTTGAAGAAAAACCTAACACGGTGGGGGGGGGGGCACTTCTATTTATGAATTTCTGAACACTGATCAAAACTAGAAGTCAGGAAATAAGTTTCAGATTTAAAACAATCAAAAAACACATGTTCAAAAAATAAAACTTCAAGTTTTAGGTAAAGCCTAGCCTAAATAACAACTTTCCCCCAAAATAATTAAGCTTTACCCACCAAACTGATATTTCTTGAACTGATTCATTTATCAGTCAGTCATGATTTAGAACCAAAAGAAAACCTGAAGATTAGCTAGTCCACAAAATACATGAAAAGACACGCTATTAATGATTTTTTTCTTTGTTTTTAAATGGTAGAGGAGTGTTAAGGGATAGAGGCAGGATTAAAAATAGTGATGTTCTTTCTCCTCAAAAAAGAGAACCATTGTAAAAATGTACTTAAATGCACAGAAGTAAAATTGGAAGGAATTTTAAAGTAACATGCAAAATTTGTATTTTTAAGTAAGCAGTATGAAATAAAGATTCATTGTTTTGTTCATAATGCTCTTTTTACATTCTGCTGTAAATATGGAAATGTTTTTTATTTTTTTTTTCTGGTTTAAGTTCATAATTTTTTCAAAAGAATGGGGAAAAAAAGATCTAGTCCAATCTCTACATTTTACAGGTAAGGAAACTAAAGACTACAAAGGGTTAAGTAATTTGCCCAAGGTCCAACACGTAATAAGAAAGAAGATTTAAATAGCTCCTCTGACTCCTTAGCTTCTCAAGGGCAGGTGCTAGTAAGGGAGAAAAACACAAAGCAATGTGACTGTTTTTGGAGCTAGCTCACATCTGACTAGAAACCATTCCAAAAGAAGAGTTTCAAAATTTTTCTGAGCAATAGCTGCATGACCGAAATAAGTATACTGTCACCCAAGGTTGACTATTCTGAAAGGGACAGCATCCACATTTAAATATGAAGTTCTGGAATGACTCTTTAAAAAAAAATTTTACCTAGAAAGACTTATATGGACTGATGCTAAGTGAAATGAGCAGAACCAGGAGAACATTGTACACAGTAATAGGCACAGTGTGCAATGACTAACTTTGATAAACTTAGGCCTTCTCAGCAATGCAAGGATCTAAGACATCTCCAAAAGTCTCATGATGGAAAATGCTATCCACATCCCAAAAAAGAACTATGGAGTTTGAATGCAGATTGAAGCATACTATTTGCTTTTTTTTCTTCTGTTTTGTTTCCTCTTTCTTGTGGTTCTTATTGTTGAAGCATACTATTTGCTTTTTTTTCTTCTGTTTTGTTTTGTTTCCTCTTTCTTGTGGTTCTCACTGGTTCTAATTCTTCCTTACAACATGCCAAATGTGAAAATATGTTTAATAGGAATGTATAGAGCCTGTATCAGATTGAGCATCGTCTTGGGGAGGAAGGTGAGAAGGGAGGGGGAGAAAAATTTAAAACTCAAAAGCTTATGGAAGTGATTGTTGATAAATCAAAATTAAATTAATGAAAAAAAAAATTTTAGTCTGGAGAGGGAGACTGTCTCTGCCACTGCTTATGTTACCATGGGCAAGTCACCTAACTTCACAGTACCTCCAGGCAACTCTAAGAGCAGGTTCATTGGTAGGACTTTCCTCACCTACAGTTTCCCACAGCAATGAAATCACAGATCTATACTAAAAAACAAACTCCAAAAAAAACAAACCAAACCACACACACTGTCAAGTTTTGAAATACATTGAAATTTATCCATGATAGTATTTGCAAATAAAGATGATAAGATGAAAACCTTTTTCTTCAAGGGGTTTCTTATATAAGAAAATCCTTAACACCAGTATATTACTAATTCCTTCTACTAGAATGAGAATCCACTATTGCAAAGGTGTTCCATTCTAGAAAACAATTAAAAATGGATGAAATAACTGAAAATCAGAAAAGTAATCACAAATTTCTATTTTTATTAGTTTTAACCTCCACAGAGCTTTTCACCACAAAAAGACTGCTCTGAATTTCACTGCCCTCAACCCTAAACACTTTCTCTTAAGTAGCAAAACTGTCCCAAAAACAGTAGTAGGAATGCTAAGAAATCTACAAAATTTATATTAACCCCTGTATAAATGAACTGACTTTACATTACTGACAATAAAGACTTACCAAGGAGGAATCAACATGCTGTACATGCCCTTTTTTATTACAAATTGTGCATATATGTATGTACGTATGTATACACACATGCACATACTTACTTTTATAAAATATCAAATACCTTGGCACTTATGGTCAGCCCAGACTAGCCATCCTTCATTCTCCCAACTTCATCATTATGCCCTGGCTCCACCTTTCCCTCTTTCCTTTCTCCCCCTTACTTACTCACTTTCATTATATTTAACTCTTTTAAAATTTATTTCACTCCCTTTTATTTGTAGCTTCCCCCATGAGAACGTTAAGGTTCTAGAGGATAGGGACAATCTGTCTTTGACTACTTGTTGAATTGACAACTTAAAAACTTTGCAAAGTACCCAGTGTAAAGATTTAGATGTTCATAAGAGCTAAAAATGGAAGCTGTTCTCTAGTAAAAAAATCACCTAACAATCAATCCACAAAATATTATCTTAAAATATCCATATGTTCAGCACTGTAAGATTTGAAAAGGAGGCAAAAACTTAGTATAAAGGGTCCTTGGCCTCTGAGAGCTTATCTTGTCGAAGAGACAGGACTGGTCAACAGGTAATTAAATCACAAGAAACGATTGGAGAATGAGCCGAATGCTAACTACAAAATCCTTTCTCTGAATTTCTTATGCACTAAGAGTGTAGTCCAGTCCTCAAAGGTTTTATGGAGGAGTTAAATCTCCCATTGGGCCCTATAAATATGTTTAGAAGCTCTGACTTAGGAACATCTAAGAACCAAAGATCAGAAGATTCACGTCTTAATAAATACAAAGCTGGCCCCCCCCTCCCAAAAAGGGGGGGAAGAACCTCTAGCAATGTTTAATATTGCCATCTTGTTTTAAATTTTCAAATTAATACTTTAGAGGTTAAATCTGAATTACTTAAAATATAATCAAAGAGCCATAAGTATTAAACTGCTTCTACTGCTTGGAGAATGGGAGTAAACACCCTGCTGCTAAAGTGGATTTACTTTGATCATACTTTAAGATTCTATTAAAAAATGAAATATTTAAAGTCAATCAATGTCAAGCTATATGCCATATTTTTTCAACTATTTTAAGTCCTTCAACATTTTCTAAAAGAGTAGAGAATGGACAATGTCATTCTCTTCACACCTTTCCCAAATTTTAGACCATGAGTTTTTCAATAACCAAAAAACTACTTTTAAATAGAATGTGAATGTAGAATGTGGGCTCATATTAAAATACATTAGAAGTATTTTATTATTAAAGAAAACTGTATTGTCCAAAGCCATCAATTAAAGGCACTTGACAAACCTAACCCATTAACATCTGCCATCATTAGAGCAGCTATAACTAGTGGCAGTCAAAATACTGAAAAAGGGAGCGGGAGCAGGTATGGAACATCGGAAATTTCATCGAAGGCAACAATTATGAAGCCAGGAGACGGTTTTCTCTCTAAATTTGTTACATGTTAACGCCCAAACACACACATACACGCTGGCCTTGAACGCCCCACTCCAAACTGTAGGCCGAGAAGGAAAACTGCCCTAAGATAAAGGCACTCCATCACAGGGTGCCAGAGCCGCCAAGAGTAACAATCGAGAAACTTGGCACGAAGAAGCCCTGGCCAAGAATGTTAACAGGAAAAAGGGGACCAGTGAGAAGCCGCTGCAGGCGCTCATCCGCAACTCCGGCGGGAAAGCAAATCGCTCCGGGGCAGAAAAGCGCCAAGGATTCCCAGGGGCCCAGGGCGGAACAAGAACCCTGGGCGGGAGGGGGGTGGGGACTGGAATGGAGGGGAAGGGGTAAGGGAGAAAGGAAAAAGGGAGGGGAATGGAGAACAAGAGAGATAACAGGATAGGAAAGATGGATCGGGAGGGGTTAGAAGGGGAGGGGAATAAGGGAGAGACACACAGGGAGGGGGGAAAGGAACGCTGTGGGAGCGGGGGGGGGGGGGGGA